CAGGAGTTCACAGGGCGATGGGCCCCTAAAGAAGAAGAAAGGCAGCAAGGGGGTTGAGCCCCCGGCCAAGAAGCAGAAAGCTGGGGACTCCGGCAAGCAGCCGGCCTCCGATGTTGTGGTTGTCGAGGACGACGCCAGCGACTCAATTCCTGTCTCCCAGGGGGAGTTCACCAACGAGGATTTTTTTGCCAGGGTGAAGTTGGAGGCTCTTTTCCCGAGGGGGGCCTCCGTCCTTGATGGCAGCCTCAATCCTTCGGCGCTGATGAGCCAGATGATGCCCTCGGCTGATAGCCTGGCCCTCACCAAGATGGACGAAAGCGCCATTAAGGCCAAGATTCTTCTGAGTAACGCCTCCGTGAGTCACACTTTCCTTCCCTCTGAATTTATTCTTTTCTTTACGTAATGTATGCAATGTGTCTAACCATCGTCCTTGTTCACTGCAGAACTTCATGGGCCTCTGTGAGTACCTCCAGAGGGTGGAGCAGATGAGGGAGGCCAAAGTTGATGCTGATGTGGAGGCTGTCAGCCTCAGAAAGAAGCTGGCTGAGGCCGATGACTCCCTTTGAATGGCCATCGAGAGCATGGAGCAGCGGGTCCAGGCTGCCAAGGCCGAAGACAGGAATGAGGGCTTGGATGAGGCCGGGGAGGTAGCTGCTGAAGCCGCATGGAAGGCTGCCGATGAGGCCCAGGCAGCTAAAGAAGAGGCTGTCACCAAGGCCCAAGAAGATGTTGTAGCCGCTTTTGTTGCCGAGGGGTGGACGGCAGAGGGGCACAAGGAGTGGATGGCCTTGGTGGTGGAGGCTTTAGTGGATGCCTGGGTCGGAGGCCCCGACAAAATGTGGCTTGCTGAGAAGGGTGACTTCTATTATCAAGGTGGAGAGTTTTTCACCCAACGTCTCATCTACCGGAAGCTGGCTCAGCACTTCAATGTGTCCCCGGAAGACTTTAAGCCGGAGGCCTATGGCCTTCCCCTTTGGCAACCAGACGTCAGGGTCCCCCTTCCTCCGGGTGAAGAGAGGTCGGTGCTTGAAGATTCCGAATCCTTGAGGGAATGCGGCTTTGGCGGTGATGAAGATGAAAACGAGGGTGGTGCCACCTCCATTGCTGCCGAGGAAGACACTGCCACTTGTACTTAAGAAATTTTCTGAACAATGCTTTGTAATGACATTTTCAGGTCCGGCTTCGGCCCTTGTAAACAATTTACTTTTCTTTTTTGTGAATGGATGAATGGGTGCCTTCGGGCCTTTAATGTTGAATTTGTCTCTTTTGATGTATGAATGCCTTCGTTTTCCTTTATGCCTTTTTTCCTTCGTGTACGTATGTTTGTATGGTGAGTTGGCCGAGGGCCCAACGTTCAGGACTTAGAAAATTTTCTAAGTGTTGTTCACCACTTGGCTTTTGTTGCATGTTGGGTTGACCGAGGGCCAAACATTTAGGACTTAGAAAATTCTTCTACGTGATGTGCACCACATGGCCTTCGGTTAATAGACCCCTCTGGCTGTATGAAAAATGTAGTCCGCACCATGAGCTCCCGGGGGGTCTGTCGCCATGGACTTAGCCATTTTTCCTGGGCAGTGTCATGAACATGCCTTCGATCAATCTCCCCTTTCATTATATGGTGCCCCGGTTCGTAGTGGCTTTTGGTGAAATTCCCTCAGCAAAGCATGGTGGTTCCGGAGGTCTTACTCCATTCTCCCTCAAGAATTTCCTTTGACTTTGCAACTAGTAGCCCTTGGTGCTAACTTAGGGTCAGTTGCATCTTGACGCATTTGTAGAGTGGGAGCCTCCGGTGTTGATTGTAATGCCGGAGGCAACTGGAGTGCGTACTTAGGAAATCTGATCTCGATCCCTGTAGGTGCCTTCGATTCCCCTCAAACATATGAGTCTTCGGCTTTGGTGGATCTCCAAAGTGTGGGGTTAGGACATTTTGCAGTCCACTCATACTATAGTAAAGGTAAATGCCTTCGGGCAATGCTGGGTTGGGAAGTGTTGCATAGCGAGAGCCTTCGGGGATGGCCTTGGGATTGTGCCTTCGGTGTTTTGCGAAATGCTTGGACTTGATCAATCCAACTCATTTGTAGGGCTTAGAGCCTTCATTATTGGTTGATGTCGGAGGCAACCAGATTGTGGACTTAGCCATTTTCTGATAAGATTTGTTGAATAGAAACCTTCGGAGTGAGGGCCACTGCCATAGGTGACTTCTGAAATTAGGGACTTCCAGGTACTAGAGGTGTTCCCATGGGAGCCCTCGGTATGATCTTTTTCTCTTTGCAATGACCTTTCTTGCAGGCTGCCGGAGTGTGTTCCGTTGCCGGAGTGTGTTCCGTTCCATTGCCAAGAATCCAGTATTTCATGAGCGGACTAAGCATAGTGAAGTGGATTGTCACTTTGTTCATGATGCTATACAGGAGGGTCTTATTAGTCCTTCTTATGTTCCTACTACTGTTCAGTTAGCAGAAATTTTCACCAAATCTCTAGGCAAGAATAAATTCCATTTTTTACTTTGCAAGTTGGGTATTTGTGATCCACATGCTCCAACTTGAGGGGAGGATATTGACGAACTAGCATGGGCAGCATGGGCGGAAAGATACAGTTTTCTTGTTGTTGGCCATTATTTAACATATAATCTTTTCATGTAATATTTAACTAGTTACTTACGCATGTAGCAGTTACTCCGTATTATTTTTACGTACGCATGTAGTTGTAGTTTCCTTATAGGACTTGTACTTCTTTCTTCCGCACAAGTAACTCATACAAAGGGAAGAAGATTGATTCTTTCAATTTATTATACTCGTCCTTTGTTTCAGTTACTCTTACTTCCATGAGCCTCTGCAACAAATCCCTTGTTGAACAAGGTGAATCTGAAGAAACATTCTGCATTTGGAAGTCTAGTGTTTCTCCTTCTCTCTTCACTATATCTCGTTAATTCAACCTGTAATTGACAGTCGCGCCAATTTAAGCACACCGGATGCAAAAATGTCGTCTTTATTTGCATTTTACCTCTAATAATGAATCTTTATGTTACACCCTCCTTCAAATCACTTCCACAGTAATTCTAAAAGAACATAAGCAAGTGAAGTGAAATTCCACCGGAGATGAGACCGCGATAGTGAGATTCTGACGAATGGTTTGCGAACGAGGAAGAGAAGAACCACAGTGTCAATGCTTCACAAATACAATAATAAGACATGTGGATATGGATAAACCCAAATTAAATACATTTAATTAGTGTAGGGTATTGGTCTCTCAAATTAGCTAAAGGATTGGAGATTTAACTAACACATACAAATTTGGGGTGGGGATATCATACCTAGCTAATGTTCATGGTATTTAAATTATTTTCTCCTAACTTTTTTATAGTAATTGGAACCTATAGAATATTTATACTAAGATTCTTCTTAAAGAAGTACCAGATGAGCAATTGGGAGTAGGCTTGGATTCGGTTCGGACCACCCGGCCCGCTACTGTGCGGGCCCGGGACCGGGCTGGTCTGGCGGTCCGGGACCGGGTGGAAACCCAAACCGGGGGGAAGCGGGACGGGATCGGTTCAGGCAAAGGGCGACCTGGCCCGGCCGGGTCGGGCCCGGGTCCAACAGTCAAATGCTCAAAATTAAAAAAAAAGGGGTTTGGGCCACAACTAGCCGTTGGGGGCTGGACTGGGGACTACCCAAACGGCTATATATCTGTTGGGTGGGCTGGAAGGGGGGGGGGGGGGGGTCCGGGCGGTCTGGGGGGTGGGGGTGGGGTAAAAAAAACTATAAATACTCCTAATCTTAAACATTTTTCCATATCTCCTCCAAAATCCTACTCTCTACTCTCTAATTATCTTCATCTTCTCAAATTCTCTTATTCTCCAATATATTATATATCTACTTATATTATTTATCTACTTAGAAATACATATATTATAATTTATATTACATATATTTCTTATCTACTTATATAGTTATATATTAATTATCTATTTATAAATACATATATTATATTACTTATATTTGTTATCTACTTAATCTCTACTTATTATCTACTTATTATCTACTTATATCTACTAAATACATACACATTACAATTTATATCTACTTAGTTAGAATTGTTAGAATTTTATTTCATTAAAGTTAGAATTGTTAGAATTTTATTTCATTAGTTCGAATTGTTTTTATAAATTAATATTTGTTACATTTTTAAGATGGAAGTGGTAGATATTCGGTTGATATGGGTAACCTCGAGCGCAACCGAATGAACGGTTTTATGAAGGAACAGTTTTTAAAATACTATTCACATATTCCGCATATTTATGGTATTGCATTTGTTCTCGATCCTCGTTTTAAACTTGGTTCTTTAGAAGAATGTTTGAATTATTATTATGCTGCTTTTTTTGGTCCAATGCCAATGTATGACGACAACCCAATTGATCCAAAAAAAGAATACAACGAGGTTAGTGATATATTTTATGCATTATTTAATGAGCTTCATGCACAATATGGCAACGCGTCCCCTCCCCCGACACAAACCTCTTCATCTAAAGGAAAATCAATTTTGAAATCTACATTTGTCAATCTTATTAAAAAAAATAAAACAACACCCACTACTCAACAAAGCACAATTAATGAGATTTCTTTGTATTTAACGTATGATGTTGATTTTGAAGAAGATGTTGACTTTGACATTCTAAACTGGTGGAAGGGAAAAGAAAGAATGTTCCCGGTTTTAGCAAAGATGACTAAGCAAGTGCTATCAATGCCGGTTTCAACAGTTGCCGTCGAACAAGAATTTAGTTCGACCAACAATGTCCTAACGCAATGTAGAACGAGGTTGAACGCAGAATCTTTGGAGATGCTTATATGCTACCACGATTGGTTAAAGGCGGCCCGTAGAGTTCAAGAAATAGACATCACCTCATCTAGGGGTGGACCGGTTCCGGTTTGGGGCCGGTTTGGGCCCGGTTCGGGCCTCGGTTCATGAAGGGGGAGGCCCGGAACCGGCCCGGAACCGGCCCGGAACCGGCCCAGAACCGGCCCGGGGGTTACCCGGGCCGGGCCTCGGTTCTAATTTTTTTTTTGGCTTTTCCTAGTTAGCCCCCAACCCTCCCCCTCACCCCCAAACCAACCCTAACCACCTCAAATGGCCCAAAATACCCAGCCCAACCCAAAAACTTAAAAAAAATCAAAAAAATTAATAATAAATTGGCCCTGCCCGGGCCCGAACCGGCCGGGCCGGTTCACCTTTTGAAGGGCCCGAGCCTGAACCGCCATCCCATCGGGCCGGCTGGCCCGATCCGGGCAACCAACCGGTTCACCGGGCTGGTCTGGGCCCGCACAGTAGCGGACCGGTCCTGTACTGGGCCGGTTGGCCCGGCCCGAGTCCACTCCTAACCTCATCCCAACACTTTATGGATGAATCTACAACCGAGAGTGACTCTACCTATTACGGAGATTCCGATTGATTAGTATTTCATGTTTTAATTTTACCTTCAATTCTCAATTGTAATTTCATATTGTGTTTTTTTCTTAATTGTCAAATGTAGTTCCTATTTCATTTCAAATAAATGCACTTTAAGTTTGTTTTTAATACTTGTATAAAACTATAAAGTATATAAAAAAATGGATTTAACCGGTCCGGCCCAGCCCGGTGGGTGACCTTGCTCGTGGCCCGGCCCGAACCGGAACCGCCTTTACCTCGGACCGGTCCCGGGTCCAACATTCAAAAACCGGCGGCTCAACCGGGCCTAGACCCGGCCCGAATCCATGCCTAATTGGGAGGGGATGGCCCATTTGTTAACGTACACTATGGAATCTAGATGCGACAAATTGGTTGCATCTATAATAATACGTGTTGGTCAAAGCAGTGCTACGTTCACCGATTGAATGTTTTTTCACGCCTTTACTTTTATATCAAAGAAAATGTTACTATGATGAATCTTTTAATACTCTTTCCATTATTTAAAGAACTTTCTATTTTGAATAGCTCATAATTTGCATTAGTTTTTGTCAATTTTAGTGCCCGACCTTTGTGCCAGAGAGATTTTTGATATCCGTATTTGAAAATATTCATATTTAGTCATTCAATTTTCATAAAAGTGATACTTTTGATCCTTTGATTATTATAATAACGACATTTTTAGTTCTCTACTTATTGTCTCAAAATCATAGTGAAAGACTAAAAGTGTCAATTTGATCATACCCCGGGGATTAAATGTGGAAAACTTTGAAGTCGGAGACTAAAAATGTCCCTAGTACTATAGTCGAGGACTAAAATTGAAAATATTAAAAATTAAGTGTCAAAAATATCAATGACACAATAGTCGAAGAACAAAAAATGACAAAAACTCTAATTTACATTATGAGATTTGTTACTTTGACTTCCTGAAATGAACTTGTCAATTGGGTGACATATATACGGAGCTTGGTGTTACAAATTTTATGAATTACAAAAGATTACTTCACACTTGAGAATTATGATACTATTTTCTTGATACATATACGGAGTAAAAATGAGAGTACTGCCTTTTCTCCTGAATATAAATAAATAAATACGATCATATTATAAAATATTGTCAACTATGATATTAATATTGATGGAGTATATGGGTCTGAACCCCCGGACCCACATACTCTGAAGAACAGAAAGCACAAGACATAGAGTGGCGCCCTCGTCGGCCAAGGAACCCCCGTCGGCCGAAAAGGTGCCAACTCAGATTATGGTCCTAAATCCAAGGAACCAGGGTGTCCTCGTCGGCCGCGCCCTCGTCGGCCGTGCCCTCGTCGGCCAGGCCCTCGTCGGCCAGGAAGACTCCACAGAACCGGATTCTACACTTACTCATTTTTACAGCCCATTAGTGGTTTTGTATTCGGCCCAGTAGCGATCCAGTTGTAAATGGGCCTCCCAAGCCCAAGGCTTGGGAGCCCAGCCCGTATTTTCTCTATAAATACTCCCCTTGGGAGTAGTTATAGGGGTGACAAATTCATTCTATTGAAACATATTATTGCACTTCTCTCTCTAGCTCTCACTTCTCTCTAGATATACTCTATCATTTGGTGCTCTCGTTGAGAGCTAGGACAGTCAAGTTAGCACCCTCCGTCGCTACCAAGCGCAGCTAACCACTGATCATGGGAAGAACTAAATCAAACCGCAACCTCGTCAGCAAGGCCATCCCTGAGGACCAAGAGTCCAGGCAGCACGACGAGGACGCCACGGCCGACCAGGTCGGCGGAGGGGACCTCTTCCAGGAGGCCTTCAACCTCACGACGGACCTCCGCAACCAACTCAACGGCGGAGCCCCTGATGCCCGCCTCGGCTTGGACAAGAAACGAGCTGAGAAGACGGACCACGCCCCGGCCCAGCCTATGGCCGCGGCCTCTCCGTCCGTGGATCCGCAGGTCCAGGCCGCGTTGTCGGTCATCATCGCCAGCCTGGCTCAGAACCTCACCGTCCTCAGTGCACTCTTGCCAAGGACCGGGGGGAACATCACTCAACCTCCTCAGCCCCAACCGTTGGCCGTCCAGATAGGCAACGATGAGGGGGTGGTGGCCCAGGACACGGCATCGTCCCACTCCCACCCTGCTTCCCCTCTTCGGCCCGGGCAGACCCCAGCGCGTGGAAAAGCCTCTGCCTTCAACAGGCTAGGTGACACGCGCCGTCGTCCGGTTTCGGAGAGGATGGCGGGACGGATTGGTGAGCTTCGTCCTGGCTCGCCGAGGGAAAGCTTGGGGTCTGTGTTCCGGACAGCGGACCAGCCCCGCCCGGACAAGGGCAAGGGGAAGTTGCACGAAGACAACGTGCGCCACCGGATCAATGCGGCTCACGACGAGCGCATGGGGAACCAACCGGGCGCCGCTGCGGCCGCCAGGGACCCCCGGGATGAAGTCATCGCCCAGCTGGAAAGGAGGCTGGCTCAGATGGAAGCCAAGCAGTCGGCCAACATCCCTACGGCCGACGCCTCCAACGACCCCGGCCTCAACGCGCTCATGAACAAGGTTAGCGCCCTGGAGAGGGAGCTGGCCGAGGGGCGAGGTGACCCCATCATCCAGGTCAGGACCAGGACCCCTTTCACCAACAGGGTCCTCTCGACCCCCATCCCGGAGAAGTACAGGGGGAACGCCATCAAGTCCTACGACGGCCGATCAGACCCCCAAGAACACTTCAGCCGCTATCAGAACAACATGCTGATGGTGAACGCGTCCGACGAATACCTCTGCCGTTGGTTCCTCTCTACTCTCGAGGGGCCAGCGTACGAGTGGTTCAACGCGCTCCCCGAAGGGAGCATCGACTCATGGCAGGATCTCGCCCAACGCTTCCTCACTCACTTTGCCGGGAGGAAGCGTGCGAAGAAGTATTTCACTCACCTCCTCTCCGTCAAGCAGCAGCGCGAGGAGTCCCTCCGGTCATTCATTGATCGGTGGACGAGGGAAACCGAGGAAGTCGAGGGGGCCGATGAGCGCACCCTCCTCGCCTTGTATCAGGGAGCCCTCCGCAGCTCCCCGTACGCTAGGAGCCTTATCACCGACTCTCCGAGGTCGTACGCCAAGGTGCTCCAGCGCGGAGGCTTGTATGCCGACGCCGACGAGCTCCACAATCACAAGAAGGAGGGGGGTCATCCCTCCAAGAAGACAAATCCTTCGCCGGCCCCGGGTCCGTCCCCGGCCGGCCAGGGTGCCCAGGGCCGTCACGGCTCTGGTGGACAGAGTAAGAAAGATCGCCACTGGCGGCCGAGGTTGGAACGGCCGGGGGTTGCCCTCACTCACCCGGTCGGCATCATCCTCGACTATGCCGAGAAGCATGGCCTCATCGAGCAGGCCCCTCGGCCGGCCGAGGAGGTCCTTGCCATCCAGCAGGGCGGCACATACTGCCGGTTCCACAAGAACTCGTCGCACAACACCGATGATTGCATCACGCTGAAGAAGGCCATCGAGCGCCTTATTCGCCAGGGGGAACTCTCCCAGTTTGTTAAAGGTGGCCCACGCAAAAACACGTGGGTAAACACCGGCAAACATGGGGGCGAACCCTCTGCGAAGAAACGGGAGATTGGTAGGCTCAGTGACGACGAGGACTTCGAAGAGCCCCCGCCAAAGAAGAATCACATTCACCTCATCGTAGGTGGGAACACTGGGGGGGACTCCGCCACTCAGAGAAAGAAATGGGCCCAATCCCTTTACATTGGGGAGGTGTCCCACGTTCCCCCCCAACCGAAGAAGCAGCGAACGGAGGCGATCACCTTCACTGACAAGGATTTGCCTCCGGGGACGGGATCACACAGGGACGCGCTCGTCATCCGGTGTGAGATCGGTGACTCCATCATCCACCGCACTTACATCGATACGGGGAGCTCCATCAACGTGATGTACCTGGACACCTTCAAGCAGCTGAAGCTGGACAGAGCTCTGTTGAGGCCGATCAAGACACCGTTATCCGGCTTCACCGGGGACTCTATCGACGCCGAGGGCACGATAGTCCTCCCCGTAGAGGTCGGTGACGGCCCCCACCACGCCAGGATTGACATGGAGTTCATGGTGGTCAACCTCCAGTGCGCCCACAACCTGATCTTGGGGCGCCAGCGCTGGAGGACTTGGAGGCCATCATCTCCATGAAGCACTTGTGTCTGAAGTTCCCCACCAATGACGGCATCGGCTACGCCAGAGGAAACCAGAGGATAGCCAGGGCGTGCTACCTCAAGCTGACAAGGCCGGCCGAGAGGGAGGGTAAGAGGATAGACACCATCACGGCAACCGTTGCCAAGGACGAGGAGAGGCCACATGCTGAGCCGGCCGAGGAGGTCCCTCTGAATACCTCCCGGCCGGAGCGGGTCCTCAGGATCGGGAAGCAGCTCCCCCGGGACCAACGAGACGCCATCCTCCTCGTCCTACGGTCATACGTCGTTGTCTTCGCGTGGGGCCCGGACGATATGCCAGGCATCAGCTGCCAGGTGATCACTCACCGGCTGACCGTCGATCCGGCCTCCGCGCCTGTCAAACAGAAGTGGCGCTATTTGTCCGCCGACAGGCGGGACTTCGTCAAAGGGGAGGTCGCCATGCTCCTCTCAATCAAACACATTAAAGAGGTGAAGTACCCGACATTGTTGGCCAACGTCGTCCTCGCCCAGAAACCGCCGACATTCAGGATGTGTGTTGATTACACTGACCTGAACAAGGCGTGCCCCATGGACCCGTTCCCTCTCCCCAACATTGATCAGCTGGTGGACGAGACGGCGGGGTGCGAGTTGATGTCGTTCCTTGACGCTTTCAAAGGGTACCACCAAATCTCCATGCATGAAGATGACGCTGAGAAGACGGCATTCATGACCCCAGAGGGAATCTTTTGCTATCTCGTCATGGCCTTCGGACTAAAAAACTCCGGCGCCACCTACACTAGGATGGTGGCCAAGATCTTCAGAGCGGTCCTTGGCCGGACGATGGAGGCGTACGTTGATGACATGATCGTCAAGAGCAGGCAGGCCTCCTCCCACGCCGACGACCTCCGGGAAATCTTTGAAATCATGAAGGAGTTCAGGCTCCGGCTCAACCCCAAGAAATGCGCCTTCGGCGTCCAGGGTGGCAAGTTCCTCGGCTACATGGTCAGCCGGAGAGGCATCGAGATAAACCCGGAGAAGACACAGGCTATCATCAACATGGAGCCGCCCTGCAACGTCAAGGAAGTACAGCGACTGACGGGGCGCCTGGCGGCCCTGAACCGGTTTCTCTCCAGGTCAGCCGAGAGGGCACTCCCCTTCTTTCAGATCATGCACAAAGCCAACAGCTTCAAGTAGACGACGGAGTGCCAGGAAGCATTCGACGAATTGAAAAGGTACCTATCGTCCCCACCCGTGCTTTCCAAGCCCAAAGCCGGCAAAACCCTCTTCTTGTACTTAGGGGTGAGCACGTCGGCCATCAGCTCCGTGCTCATCCGTGAGGACGAAGGGGTGCAGAAGGCCATTTTCTACATCAGCAAAACGCTCAGGGAGGCCGAGCTCAGGTACTCCCCCATTGAGAAGACGGTGTTGGCCATCGTCCATACGGTAAAGAAGTTGGAGCACTACTTCCAGGCCCATGTCGTCCATGTGCTAACCCAGCAGCCTCTCGACGCACTCATGAGGAGCCCCACCAGCTCCTCTAGGATGGTGAAATGGGCGATCTTCCTCAGCCAATTTCAAATTGAGATCAAGCCAAGGCCGTCTATCAAAGGGCAAACCTTGGCCAACTTCGTCACTGAATGCACAGCAAGGGAGACGGCCGTTGCCAACCCCGAGCCGGAGCCGGACGATACATGGATCCTATTCACTGACGGCTCGTCGGCCGCGAAATCATGTGGTGGCGGCGTCATCCAAATATCCCCTGAAGGATTCAGAGCTTACTATGCCATCCGCTTCAACTTCAGGGTATCCAACAACGAAGCCGAGTATGAGGCCCTCCTCAGCGGTCTCAGACTCGCCGCCGGCCTCAAGGCCAAGCACCTCAAAATCAAGTGCGACTCCAAACTGGTAGTGGGCCAGGTGGAGGGATCGTACGAAGCAAAGGAAGGCCGAATGAAGCAGTACAAACAAGCGGCGGAGAAGCTGCTGAAGGCGTTCGAAACCCACGAGATCACACAGATCCCGAGGGCCGAGAACGCCGAGGCCGACATCCTCTCCAAACTCAGCTCGGACATCCCGGAGCATATCTCCCGGCTGGCCAAGATCGAGGAGTTGAGCATGTCCAGCATCCATGCCAGCCCCGTCTTGTGCGTCCAACAGCGATCAGAGGACTGGATCTCCGACATCGTCACCTTCATCACAACGGGGGAGCTGCCCCCGGACGAGGAGAGGGCCAAACTTGCCAAACTCAGGGCCCCAAGCTACACCATCGAAGATGGCAAACTCTACAAACGGTCCTATAATGGCACTCTCCTCCGATGCCTGCACCAGGACGAGGCCGACATGGCCATGGAAGAAGTTCATTGCGGCGTCTGCTCCTCGCACCAGGGCCCTTTCAGCATGTCCCGACGTCTCGTCGTCCAGGGCTTGATCTGGCCGACGATGGCGCGAGACTGCGCGGATCTGGCCAGGAAGTGTACCACGTGCCAGGTGCTCCAGAAGGCCCCTGGTCGGCCAGCCGTCAACTACGCCCCCGTCAGCACCGCAATTCCATTCTCTAGATGGGGGATTGACCTGGTCGGCCTCCTGCCCAGAGCCGCCGGGAATAACCGCTACATCATCGTCGCCGTCGACTACTTCACCAAGTGGGTCGAGGCGGAACCCCTGGCCAGCATCACGGGGGCCAGATGCCAAAAATTTGTTTACAAGAACATCATCACACGCTTCGGCGTCCCCCAGGAGATTATATGAGACAACGGCACCCAATTCGAGGCATCCCCTTTCCAGGAGCTCCTCCGGGAGTTTGGAGTGAAGCATCGTTTCTCCTCTGTGGCCTACCCTCAGGGCAACGGGCAGGTCGAGAACGCCAACAGAACAATCATGGAGGGGCTGAAGAAGAAACTCCAGGCCGCAGGAGGTAGTTGGGTCGACGAGCTCCCCAACATCCTGTGGTACTACAGAACCACGCCGAGGAGGGCGACAGGTGAAACGCCTTTCGCCCTATGCTACGGCTTCGAGGCAAGGGCGCCCACGGAAGTTGCCATCCCCAGCCGACGAGTGGAACAATATGAGCCTGACGCCAACGAAGAGAACATGAAGATTGACCTGCACCTGGTCGATGAGAGGCGAGAGCAAGCTTACGTCCGAGCAGAGAACTACCGGCGTCAAGTAAAATCATACTATGACGCCAAGGTACGTTCCCGGGAATTTCAGGTGGGGGACTACGTCCTCCGCCGAAGGGAAGCAAGCCAGCCGACAGAGGGTGGCAAGCTAGCATTGAAGTACGAAGGGCCCTACATCGTCAGTGTCGTGGTCAAACCCGGCACCTACAAGCTTAAACGCCCGAATGGGTCCAATGTACCACGAACGTGGAATATACACCATCTGGTGAAGTTTTATCAGTAATCCGAAGGAGGTGCAGACGGCGAAGCCCTCACCCCTTAACGGGTTACTGATTGAACGCCACCCTCGGCCTCGAGCCACTTATGAATAAAATCATGTTCCTCCTGATTTTTTCTCTGGAATTTAAAGTAAAAAACGTTAGCAGGTGCCCTCATCGGCCACCTCAGAGCAAAAGGCTCAGGCATGGCTGACGGGGCCCCTTGCACTTGCAGCCTACGATCGACAAGATCAGGCGTTCCATTGTATTTTGTATCAGCGAAGGGCTCAGGCCTAGCTGAGAGAGCACATCGTCCTGGCCCCGTAAGCCTAGAAGTGAAACGCTCATGAATGGTCGACGATGTCCCCAGGACGAGGGGCCCGCAAACGGCCCACGTCTTGAAACGGGAAGCTCACCGCGTCGTCCACGCGCCAGATCGCAGGACGGCAGGCCTGAAATCATGGCCGAGGTGACAAAATCCCAAAACTCAGGGATGGGCAATGACAGCCGTTGGAAACCGACCAAAAGTCTAGCCCGCGTCATAAATAGGCGACGGGACCCGCCCTGAGATCACGGACGTTATAAACGAAGTCCGAACCGGCCGAAGGACGAGCACACCCTTCGGCCGAAGCCTGAAAGAAGGATACTCCCCAACAACAACAAAAAATATATATATATAAGGGGAAAAGAGGGAAGCTGACGGCCGTGCACACTAGCCGGCCTCGAGCAATGAAAAAATAAAATCCCCACAATTCAGGCCCAATTTGGCCAAGTACATATCAGTTGAACACAAGTGTAGTACCACTAACAGGTGACATGGACGATACGTCCACACACCACAAGGGAATGATCAAGGCCGAAGCATACGCCTATAAAACTCTAACTGAATCGGTTGGGTGACACGCGAGAGGTAACCTTCATCGGCCACAGCCCTTTGAAGCACCAACGCTTGGTATGAAACAGAACACTTACAATCATGAAAGATGACCAGGACGAAGCGGGCAGTATCACACCCGCGGAAGAATCAAGCAATCAGGAAACAATCCCAACTGGCCATAGCATCCTGGTTGGCCGATACAGGCACTGAAACCCAGGCTGTTGGTCAAACGAAGGTTTCTTTGGGGATTTGTCCAAGTATTCACTAAACACTTAGAGAAAATTCTGAGGAAAAAGGTTCCTCAAGAAGGAGGTATGTCTTAGCCGATGAAGGTAAGACCATCTCCTTGGGAAAGCAAGGGGCACCCTCATCGGCCACAAGCCAGACCTTGGCCGATGAGGGTAGGGCCACCTCTTAGCCGGCAGCGGTACCACAAAGAAGGAACTATGTCCTACACTTGTACTTTGTTGAAAAATCTCTAAGTACCTAAATGGAGAAACTCTAGACGAAGCGGGTACCTGTATACTCCAAGGCCGTTAGCTACCTACGCCTTGCATGTGTACTTAGAAAAAATTCTAAGATCAAAAAGGCAAGTTCGAGGTGCCATTATCGGCCACATCACAAGGATCCAGGCCGACCTTCCTGATCAGATCAGGAACAAAGGAACGCAACGGCCATGAAAACACTGGGCCGACCACAACGACATTGGTTCAGCACTTAGGAAATTTCTGAATAAATCCTAAGTGTTACGACAGCAAAGAAACACCGGACAGGCCGACCAAGCCACCAGGCCGGAAAGAAACGACGGCCAGGCCGACCAGGCCACCGGACAGGATGGACTACCTCACGGACGTAGCAGACACTCGCGGGTGACCCAAATTGTAACCTTTACACTTAGACAAATTTCAGAATTGAAAGGGCAAAGGGCAATAAGCATACAAGGAATTCAAAGCCGAGCAAGACAGCAAAAAATTTCATTCATAATCAATTCAGTACAATGGGGGGCGCTTCGGCCATTACATCAATTCGGCAAAAATGAAAAACTAATAACAAGGGAGCGGGGAGTAGCCGATCAAGCCTCTTGAGCGCCTCCATCTTCGGCTGGCTCTTCGACGTCTTCGCTTCCCTCCTCGGCCTCAGTCTCCTGGCCGGCAGCAGCCGCAGAACTGGTAGCGTCGTCCAGGAAGTCAAACTCCGTGTAATCCGACTCGCCGAGGCCGGAACTCTCAATGGGGGACTCCCGCTCCGACAGAGGAAGCTTGGCCTGCTCTTCGGGATCTTTCATCAGCTTGGGAAGCTTCAAGTTCCGTCTAGCCCACCCGGAAGTATAGTTCATGGCCTTAAGAGCACGAGACAGCCGCCGACACAAGAGCCTCTGCATCCGCTCCTGGCCCATGTTATAGTACACGGCCATCTCCCTGCTGAAATACTCCTGGCCGGCGGGGGAGTTCATCCCCCAATCTTCAAGCTTAGCGGCCACCACCTCATAGCACCAGGAGAGCCGCTCATCGGCCTTCCACCCCTCGGCCAGGAACTGCTTAACGGCCTCATCAGCAGCCTTCACAGCGGCAGCCTCGGCCTCAGCTTTCACCTTCACGGCTTCATCGTTCTTGCGCCGCTCGGCCTCAAGCGCCCTTTGGCTCTCCTCGAGTTTGGCCAGAGCATCGTCCTTGGCTGCGGCGGCCTCGTCGGCCTTTTGTTGCAAGGCCTTGGCATCCTCCCGGAGCCGATCCAAGCAAGCTACCGCCTCATCGGCCGAGGCAGCTTTCTGCTCCAGCTCTTTCAGACGAGCTATCTCCCGGTACTGCCTCTTATGGCTCTCCATGAGCATAAAGGCACCCTGCATAAAAAAGGAAAACAAAACTCAGGCAAATGACTCTACACGGACGACGAGAAAAACGGCAAGCAAAAGGAAAGGAACTTACTTGGACGAGGAGGTCCATCCCGCCCTCGTACACCTTCACGTCCCGAGCCTCTTCAGGTAGGCCCTATCTTTGGCCGGCATGGCCTGAGCCAGCACATCGTGGCCGAGGACGACGTCGTCGAAAACACCCCCGCCGACGGGGTATTCCACCATCTTCTGGTAGGTGGCACCGACAATCTCCTTGCCGGCCCTCTTCGTCCGTGGCTCCTGGACGAGAGGGAGCGATTGGGCAACATCGCTAGGAGCAGCAGTGAGGTCGACAACAGGACCACTATTGTCCACACTGGGGACGGTAAGAGTGCCGACCTCAGTAGCCTGGGAAGGAGACGATGCCCTCTTCGTCTTCTTGGTGACGTTCAGGCCGGCCTCAGTCAACTTCTTCTGGCCGTCAGTGGGAGGCCTCTTCTTCTTGGACTGGGCAGGCTTTGGGGCCGCATCAGCAGTAGCCCCGCCTCCCTCGGCCGCGGCACGTCTGGCCGCCTCGGCCGCCTTTGCAGCCAACTCTTCGGCCGCCTTGGCCTTGGCTATAGCCATGATGGAACGACGATCCATGACAAAATCTACACAAAGGAAAAACAACAGATTAGCAAGGCAAAAGAACAAATCATAAAGGAAGAAAGCCGAAGAAATAATTACCATCGGCCTCAGCAGGAATGCCCAAATCCGGGCCGTCGGCCTCTTCAAAGGTGGTGGTCATCCTCGGCCAGAGTTGGATATCGTCCTCCTTATCACCGTATACATGGTATCTTAAGAAGCCGAGGGCGGTCATCTTGTATTCGGTGATATAATCCTTCACGTTCCTCGGCCCCCCTTCCAAGAAAGCCTCCACCTGAGCGTCCAAGATAGAACTCTTCGGCGGGTCATGCAGATTGAACCTCCCGGTATGGCCGAGAGAGGGAAACTCGGTGCCATTCTCACCAAGGGATACAAAAACGAACTTGCTCTTCCACCCATGAATGGACGAAGGCAAGTCCGTGAAGCTCCTCTTCTTCGGCAGCTGTTGAAGAGTAGCATAGGCCGCACAGTTTTTGTGACTTCCTCGGCCGATCTGATACAGGTTCATGAACAGAGCCGTCGTCGGCCTGTAGCCCAGCTCCTCACAGCGGAGCAAGAACCCCACCATCAGCGAGTAGCTGTTCGGCGTCAGCAAGGCCGGAGGGAGCCCCACCATGTCAAGGTATTCGGTGATGAAGGGATGAAGGGGAAACCTCAGCCCCTTGGCAAAACTCATCGGGTATACTCCAAAGTATCCCGGTGGCGGAAGAAGAACATGGTCCGTCGGCCTGGGTGCCCTAACCCGCCCGAACGGCCCCACGTACATCTGGGCAACCAGGTAGTCGGCCGCGCTGCTCTCCGGCTTGATCAAGAAGATGTTTGTGAGATCCAGGTAAGAGATGCCCGGCCCACTCTTCGGCCTCCTTACTCTCTTCGGCTTATCTGCTCCCTTCACGGCAGACACCGGTCTCGGGCATGGAATGACAGCGGAAGTGGACGCCCCATCCACCACTCGGGACGCACTTGCGTCCTCACCTTTTGAAGACGAGGCGGACTCCTCGTCCTCGACTTCGTCATCCACCGGCTCTCCGGACTTGTAAGGACTTAAGTGTTGTATCTCCTCTTCGAACTCCTCGAGCACCTCATAGTCAAGAGACCTAGTGGAGGGCTGGTCGTCGTACGGATAGTAGTCTTCGTTCAAGCTCTTCATCATAACAACTACTACGAGCCTAAGGGGAGTAACTTAGGATCTAAGGGTGTTCAAGCGCCTAACACTAGATCACTAGCCTAGGAAGCAAAGTATGCAAAGTACAGAAGATGGCGATGAACACTAACCTTGAACACGAAGAACACAAAGAACAAGCTTGGGAGTTTATCTCTCTAGAAATTTGGCCAGCACTTCGACAACTCAGAATGCAAATGAGTTTTCTCATCGGAGGGGGAGGGGTATTTATAGAACCCCCCACCCAACGGTCACTACACGTGGCACCCTCCCAATGGTCACATCAACGGCCACCAATGGGAGGCCACCACGTCACCAACGGGCCAAGCTACATATCAAGAGCCCAATAGCGAATCAGACTCTACGGCCTACACACTGGCCGGCTTCACAAGTGCCAGCAAACGCCCACAACGGCCTATTTACTTGCCAAGTTCACAAATGCCAACAATAAGGAGATGACAACGGCCAGGAATGTCATGAACGCCCACCGGCTCCCCGTAACGACCCTTGATGATAACCCTCTACAAGCGATCTGCGCACAAGGGTTCTCCCACAGGGTTACCTTGGCCAGAAAATCGCCATGAGGGTTGGATTCAGAGGGACTACGGAGAGGCCGCTTCGGCCAGGGACTCAAGCAACTCCTTCACCCCTCACTCTCTTCGGCCTGAAGCAGTGGGGGACTAGGGGACTACACCGGCCTCAACAAAACAAAAGGAAAAATGCAAACACAAATGTAACCACAAAGCATGGCCACATCGGCCATGTATCACACTGCGCCTCGTCGGCCAAAGGCACATAACATCATCAGCAACGGCCAACTGGCCACCTAAGGCAAGGACACTCATCGTCCTCCGCCAACAGTTAATCATGATGGGCTCTTCGGCCAAGAACACGAAAGCCAATCAGCGACGGCCAAAAGGAGTGCGCAAACACTCTCATCGGCCACCCAAAGGAAAGGACGCCATCGTCCTCAAAGCAAGGTTCAACCTCAGTGACCTCATCGGTCCAAACGTAAACTTCAACCATCAACGTCCAAGAAAGGGAAAGCGTGCCTTCAACGGCCACCAGTGAAGCAGGACACTTATCATCCCCAAATGAACACATCAAGGAAACAACGACCTCCCCCGCCCACAGCAAGGAGCAGGTAACGGCCAAAGCACAGAACAGGATCACCAAAATAGAAACAGCGCCAACGCTGCAACAGCTGACGGCCTGGGAATGCCCGCATCGGCCAAAAGCAACAAAGCACGGGAATCTACTCTCCTTCACTTCGCCTGCATCTCAGCTTAGAGAGTGGGGGACTCCTGATGGAGTATATGGGTCTGAGCCCCCGGACCCACATACTCGGAAGAACAGAAAGCACAAGACAGAGAGTGGCGCCCTCGTCGGCCAAGGGACCCCCGTCGGCCGAAAAGGTGCCAACTCAGATTATGGTCCTGAAGCCAAGGAACCCGGGTGCCCTCGTCGGCCGCGCCCTCGTCGGCCGTGCCCTCGTCGGCCAGGCCCTCGTCGGCCAGGAAGACTCCACAGAACCGGATTCTACACTTACTCATTTGTACAGCCCATTAGTGACTTTGTATTCGGCCCAGTAGCGGTCCAGTTGTAAATGGGCCTCCCAAGCCCAAGGCTTGGGAGCCCAGCCCGTATTTTCTCTATAAATACTCCCCTTGGGAGTAGTTATAGGGGTGACAAATTCATTCTATTGAAGCATATTATTGCACTTCTCTCTCTAGCTCTCACTTCTCTCTAGATATACTCTATCAAATATTTAGCGTCGTATTAATGCGTGATAATGATAAATGTTACAATATAATTACAAAATAAAAGTAATTAACTCATTTTTTGGGAGAAAATTCATCAATTATATGTTTGAGTTGTAGATTGTTTTTACAAATGTAAATACGGAGTAAGTAATAAATACAGAGAACTATCAAATAAGCCCTTGAAGTTTCATAAAAAGTGCAAATAAACCCTTTTAGAGGATGCTTTGTCCGACTGTAGCCTTTTGAGGTGGTTTCCGGTGGAGTTTCTTGATGAAAATTTTTGAGCATCTTCTTCATTAAGTCTAATTTATTCATACCAAATTTTAGCTAAACATTCAACTGAGAAGGCAGTCAAATGATTTTCTGAAATATACTTAATGAAGAAGATGCTCAAAAAATTTGGTATGAAGCTGCACAGTTATCTGAAATATACTTAATGAAGCTGCACAGTTATCTTCAAAAATTCATTTGACTGCCTTCCCGGTTGAATGTTTAGCTTAAATTTGGTATGAGTAAACTAAACTTAATGAAGAAGATGCTCAAAAAATTTCATAAAAAAGGTCCATCGGAAACCGCCCCAAATGGCGACGGCCGGACAGAACCTCCTATAAAAGGGCTTATATGCACTTTTTATGAAAGTTCGAGGGCTTATTTGATAGTTCTCCCTAATAAATAAAGGGCATAATAATTGTATGCAAACATTTTTTAGAAAATTCAAGTGTAGTCGTATGGTTGTCTTTAGTTTTTCTTTTAATATTGATGAAAAACGATCTTTGTTTTGGCGTATATAAATTCATATTTAGATTTGTCTTTCACTTTGAGGAAGATGCACTTATTTGCCTATTCACAGCTCCGAAATTGCTATTCACGACCCTGAATAATTTCAATATCTAAATTACCCTTATTAAAAAGATAAACGGTCCAAGCAAAACATAGCAAGTTCGAAGAAGACGAACGCTGAAGTTCTTCTACCACGAATCATTGAGGTGTTTCCTCTTGGGTTGGGATTGTTTATATTAGCCGCGGTGGGTGATTAAGGAAACAATGATTCACGCAATAGTTTGGTCACAATACTCCTTGAAGATGAATCAGATGATCTCACAACAACCAAATACTTCGATCATAAGTACGACGAGTCGCCCATCTTCGTACAAATGCAATTCTGAAGAACATACGAAAGCATCCATGTAGGGTGAAGTGTTTGAACGTTGCGTAACTTAGTCCATGATTTCTCTACTCAATTTATCATGGCCCACAAAACCAGCAGGCCCCTCAGCCAAGTGTCTCCTTCAGTGCTCGGTTGCTTTGCTTTCATCTTGTTGACTATTCAGACTTCACAGTCGGCTCAAATGCTCGTCTCCTTCCGCGCTTCTTTTCTTCAGACTTGAGCTTGTGCGCTAATATTTAGTAATAACTTATTACACATTTTTCGATTTTTGGTCCCCCGACTTTACTGTCAGGGACAATTTTAGTCCCACGACTATCAAATACTTGCCACTTTTGGTCCTAGGGCTTATTTATCCGGCAAGAAACGTACATGTGCCATTCATGTGCCATTTTATGAAGGTTAAAAGAGTCATTTACTTTACACCATCCCTATTATTACACCATCCCTTTTAGTTATCGATCGTCATTCTAAATAAACCCTACGATTTCTTCCATTTGTGTCTCCGCTTCACCCATTATTCCATTCTTCTTCTGCAAATTTCTCCTTCTTTTCTGAACGCAATAGAGGCAAAGGATCGAAGGTCTTCATCTAATTCGCAGAACTCTCAAGGTCAATATTATGAGTATGGCGAATGGATTCCTATTGTGGTTTGTTTCATTTCAGAGCAACATGTCATGTGGATTTATGCAATGGTTTGACCCTCCTATGTGCAACGGAGCAAAGAGGATTATCCCGGGGTTACTGAGAAAGATCAACCGTCATGAAGAAGAAATTCAGAATTTGCAGAAAAAAATAAAAGAGATAGAAATAAGGGTGAAAAAGAAGGAAACTTGGAAGTTGTTGTCTCTGAAAAAAATGCCAGCAGCCCTCTTGATGATTCTGATTGTCATGTGTAGTGTGCTTTTAAATAGATGGAATGTGATGTAAAGTAATAAGCTGCATTTAGAACAAGTGAAACATTGTAGCATACCTGTGTGTTACAGTAGGAAAGACATGTTTAAAAGCTGGGAGTAGACCCTTCTGTTTGTCAGATATGAAAGTGAACATATTCTCATTTTCACCAGAAATCCCTAGATCCCTTTTCAGTAATTGCAAGAACCAGGTCCATGCATCTCGTGTCTCTCCTTCAACTATTGCGTATGCTAAAGGAAAGAGTGAGTCATTCGCATCATATCCGATGGCAGTAAGTAATTGTCCACCAATGTGTGATTTTAGGTGAGTTCCATCAACACCAACTATAGCTCTACAGTGTCTGAATCCCATCTTGCAAGCCTCCCAACATATATAGATTCGAAGAAACCTATTTTGGCCATCTGCATCTGTTAAATCACTCAATTTCACACAACAAGTTGTCCCAGGATTTGTTTTATTAATCTCCAAACAGTATCTCCAAATTTGATTAAAGTTCTCAACATCAGAACCTTGTATTTGTTTTTTGGCCTTCTCCATTGCTCGGTATGCTTGCTTATTACTCACATGAAAGTTCTCTTCGGTGCATACCTTCTCTCTGAACTCCTTCATTTTCCAAGAAGTATGAGATTTGATTTCCTTCACCCATCGCTTTGCTAACTTGGTTGAGTTCACCATCTTATTATGATATGTCCAAGAACAACCTTCATGCTTACTCACATAACCCAATATCCTCCATGATAAAGACCCTAACACTTTTCTAAGATTTATTTTCCATGGGCACGTCATGTGTTTACATTGGACAATGTATCTAACCTTATCATTTTTCTCAATTCTCAAATCTTTCCCGTTCTTAAAGGCATAGTTTTGCATTGCTTCTTTAAATTCCTCTTTAGTAGAAAAAGTCATGCCTAACTTAAACTCAGGATCTTGCATGTCAATACTAGCATTAAATGTGGGCCACTTTTCTTCATTTTTGTCACTGTCAGACCCTGAATCATTGATAGAACCTTCATCTGAAAAGTTTGGCACTTCAAGGGTGCTGTGCCATGTTGTTAGAGCATTGTCAGTGAGTGTAAAATCTTCAAATCCTCCATACTCATCTCTCAGTATAGAGTTCTCCTCAATGATATGCTCACCTAACAAACCAATATCCCATTCCCATTCACAGTTTCCTGTAAACTGACCGGTTTGATTAACACTACCCAGATTTCTTGCGAAGTCATAATCATCATCTTTTCTTGTTGTCCTACACACTACCCATATTTCTAACATTCTTCTTGAACCTAAGTCTTTAGTCAAGCTCCAAACTTGTTTCTCTGTGGCTAGTTTTTCCAGACCATGGTGTGAAAGTGAAAAAAACTCAAGTTCTTCTAAGTTACTGTATCCTAATTCCTCCATTTTTTCGGTTAGAGCTATAATACCAAACTCATCAGCATCCTCTTTAAAGAACTCTATTTGACCTCCCAGATACACAGGTGGTGTAGTGTGTAAGTCAATATTTCCTCCATGTAACACTTTTAGTGTAAATAAGCTATTGCTTTCATCTGAAATATGGCGTAAATTAATACCATTATTTATGTATGTATTATCTACGTGTTTGTACAAAAATGTTGAAAAGTTTAAAGCCAAATGTAAATTTCTAATAGCATTGAAGGCCACGCTTCTAAGAAATGACTGTAGTGCAAGTAGTATAGTCAACTTACCGTATTGCAGCGAAGCTTGTGCGCTACTTCCAATGGAAAAATTCTCCATTCTGAGACTTACTCTCTAACGTTGATGCCTTGCTTTTCTGTGAAGACCATGTATGAAAGCAGATGGATATTTCAAAAGCGGGAAATTGATAGGTTATTTTGTGAGCGGAATGACTCTTTTAACCTTAGTATAATTGCAACATGAACGGCACATTTGTGTTTTTCGCCGGATAAATAAACCCTAGGACAAAAAGTGGCAAGTATTTGATAGTCTTGCACTAGATCTAGGAAAAATAAAAGATGGGGACTAAAATTGTCCCTGACAATAAAGTCGGGGGACCAAAAATGGAAAAAACTCTAACTTATTACTAATAAAGATAATTTAGGTATTTCAATTATTTTTATTTGAGGGCTGTGAATAGAATTACCCAAACTTTAAATGGTCAAAGAGCTCATGGAATATATGCATGTATAAAACAAGCCCATCAGTGATTGATTCAAAAAGTACTACCTCCATCTAGCTGGGAATCTTAAGGCACGAAACCAGCCCGGGTAGCTGGTTCCCAGGCTTATTTATTTTCTAATTACTTCCCATCCCCACACCCTAAACCTGTCCAAAACACCCAACCCACCCCATTTACCTTTTTCAAATTTTGAAAAACAAAAAAAAAATGGCTCGAATCGGGACCGAACCGGCCGGGCCGGTTCACGTTTTGGGAGACCCAGGAACCGCCCCTGAACAGTGTCGGGCCAGGTGGCCCAAACCAAGCACAGACCCGGGTACCGGGCCGGGCCAGTTACGGACCGATTAACCCGGCCTGATTCCATCCCTACCTCCATCCCATTAATATTGGGACATGGGGGAGAGAAAGTTATTAAGAAAAAAGGATTAATGTGGTTGATATCAAATTGATAAAGTAAGAATAAAGTAATAATGATTTAGTATCATACAAATTTTACCAAATTTGATATGAGGCAATCATAGTGGGGCGTATCGAAAAGAAAAGACGGAACAATCTTAACGAAACGGACCAAAAAGAATGATATTATCTACTTTCTCCTATCTCCTGAGGCAAGTTAGACTTCCCACTCTTTTTGTGCCACACATTTTTACTAAAACAGACCACAGTTTTACATGATAGCAAAATACAGATATTCTAACACACTATGAGAGCAAATCCCTTCAAGCCAATCGTACCAATGACCTACCTTGATGTAGGGTGGTCGGTCTATACATCTCTTGAGTTTGGTGAAAATTGGATGAACTGTCAGCAACAGTCATGACCCAAGTGTTACTTCTTAAAGATGATTCGGTTTACAACATTAACAGGCAAGGCATAAGCAGGATCTATAGGTTTGAGTCCAGGATATTCCAAAAGAGAAAGCCCTGCAGTGGACAAATCGCAATGCAATTAATATAGGTCCGGTTACTACTCAGTTTTATTTCAACCAGCAAATTAAACCTGACCAGAGAGTATCACAGTTTATAAAGTTTGTTGAATTTAAAGAACAAATAAAATAACCATTTCTTTATACTTATTTGTTATGGTTCTGGGACTGAGAACGGGTCCAGGGGCGACTTGGGGTAGCAGGGTACCCAGGTGAGGTGATAACCTGACTGCTAGGGTTACTCCTCTTCTTGCTCGTGGTTGGAAGAGCGCAGTAAGGGCGCAGGGGAAGGGGGGAACTCGGGGAAGTCCGTGACTTCTCTCTGAGATTAATTTTCTAATGATCGATCCTTTTATTAAGGCTGAAAAAGGAATATAAATAGACATCCTGCCTTTACATGATAGAGTTCTAGTCTAACTAAAACTGTAACCTCTAAATACTTCTATTACTAATAGGAAATAATAAATAAATAAATAAATAAATGAAATAAAAATAGCATTAGGATAGACTCCTCTTCCAATTGAACTTCCGGCTGGCCCATATGTTTCCTCCTGCGATAGGGAATTCCAAAAAATGCATCCCTAACATCACTCCCTCCCTTGAAACTGAGCTTGTCCCCAAGCTCAAATCCTGGATAAGCAGCAATAAAAGTGTCAAACGGCTCCCAAGTTGCCTCCTGAGCTGTGTGGCCTTGCCAATGGACTAACAGCTCCTTCTCTCCTCTGTTTAAACGACAGTGAAGAACATTGGCTAGAAGTGGCAGGGCCTTGCCGTCTTTCAGCGGTGGTAGTAGCCCTGGTGCTGGTGGAACACTCCCTTGATGAGGCTTGAGTAAAGAGACATGAAAAGTGTTGTGTATTTTGCTTCCTGATGGTAACTCCAACTGATATGCCACACTGCCTACCTTTGCTAATATTTTAAATGGCCCATAAAATTTAGGAAGCAGTTTGTGTTGCTTAGAGCGACCTACTGTGAGTTGTCGGTACGGTTGTAGTCGCAGCCACACCAAATCACCTACATTAAACTGTAAGTCCCGATGATAATTGTCATATGCTCTCTTCATGCGCTGTTGGGACAACAATAACTGCTCTCTTACGGTGGTTACAAGCTCATCACGAGTAATGAGTTCCTTATCAACTGCCTCCAGTCGTGTGGAGCCTGCAGAATAAGCCAATAACCGAGGTGGTTCTCGGTCATATACCAAGCGAAAGGGTGTTTCTCCTAGTGATGTATGGTAGGAAGTATTGTAACAAAATTCAATCCACGGTATCCATTGCACCCATTTCATTGGCTTCTCTCTTGTCATGCATCGCAAGTACATCTGTATAGTGCGATTAACGACCTCAGTTTGTCCATCAGTTTGCGGATGATAAGCGAACGAAAAGGTGAGCTTGGTTCCAGACAAACGAAACAATTCTCTCCAAAATGTACTCATGAAAACCTTGTCACGATCAGAGACTATTATTTCCGGCAGACCGTGCAAATGGACAATCTCATTGAAGAAAATTGTTGCTACTGATGGCACGGTATATGGATGGGACAAGGGAATGAAGTGAGCATATTTTGAGAAACGATCCACCACCACAAGCAGGATTGATTTTCCCTTGACTTTTGGCAGCCCTTCAACAAAATCTAGTGAGATATTGGCCCAAATTTTTTCGGGTACCGGTAATGGCTGCAGCAGCCCTGCAGGGTGTAGATTTACCCACTTATTTCTCTGAAAAACATGGCACAATCTGATGTAATCTCCCACCATTTTTTCATACCGGGCCAATAAAAATCACGCCGAATATGCTGCAACGTTTTTTCTTTGCCTTGATGTCCCATATCAAGTGATTGCCACACATTCTATCTCAACCTCCTCTCTGCGTGAGAGGGCATCAGCAGCCACATTTAATCTTCCCGGCTTATATGCCACACGAAAATCAAATCCCACCAGCTTGCTTAGCCAATGCTGTTGCGGACAGGTTGTCAAGCGTTGCTCCAGGAGGTACTTTAAGCTGGAGTGATCAGTGCAGACCAAAAATTGGCGACCCCAAAGATATGGTCTCCAATGCGTAATGGCTTTAGCGAGGCCGATTAACTCTCTTTCATAAACTGCCAACTTTTGATGCCTCTCTGCGAATTCTTGTTATAGCGATTGGGCTCGCCATCCCTTCCCGGACGGCGACCGTCGCCCCTATATGACGCACGGCTCATCATCGCCTCGTCCTCACATTTAGACCAGCCCCAGCGCTGAAGTCCTTATCTAGCGACCAGGCTCGCCATTCCCTTCCTGGATGGTGACCGTCGCCTTCATATGACGCATGGCTTATCATCGCCTCGTCCCCGTATTCGGACCGGCTCACCAGCGCCATCGTCCCCATATTCGGACCGGTTCGTCAGCGCTGTCGTCCTCATATTCGGACCGACTCATCAGCGTCGTCGTCCTCATATTCAGACAGGCGTCCACCGCCTCGTCCCCCTATCCAGATATAGCGAACATCTTGCGGTCTCCGGCTGAAAGGCTAAAGGAGCCCAGAGTTCAGCCATTTATCGCTCCGTCATCTTTATTTGATGACGCGAAGCTCATTTGCAGGCCCATCGGTCATATATCGCTCTGTCATCTTTATTTGATGATGAAGAGCTCATTTGTAGGCCCATCGACCATATATCTCTCTGTCATCTTTATTTAATGACGAAGAGCTCATCTACAGGACCATCGGCCATATGTCGTTCTGTCATCTTTATTTGATGACGAGGAACTCATTTGTGGGCCTCTGAGCCACATCTTGCTCCGTCATCTTTATTTGATGACGCGAAGCTCAGTTGCAGGCCCATCGGGCATATATCGCCTCGTCATCTTTATTTGATGACGCGAAGCTCATTTACAGGCCCATCGGCCATATCTCGCCCCGTCATCTTTATTTGATGACATGGCGCTCTCATATAGGCCTCTCTCGGCCATACATCACCCTGTCATCTTTATTTGATGATGTGGGGCTCTCATGTAGGCCTCTCGGCCATACGTCGCCCCGTCATCTTTATTTGATGACGTGGAGCTCTCATATAGGCCTCTCTCGGTCATACATCACCCCGTCGTCTTTATTTGACGACGTGGAGCTCTTATGCAGGCCCCTCGGCCGCACCATCACCCCGTCGTCTTTATTTCACGACGTGGAGCTCTTATGCAGGCCCCTCGGCCGCACCATCGCCCCGTCGTCTTTATTTGACGACGTGGAGCTCTTATGCAGGCCCCTCGGCCGCACCATCGCCCCGTCGTCTTTATTTGACGACGTGGACCTCTTATGCAGGCCCCTCGGCCGCACACATCGCCCAATCGTCTTTATTTGACGACGTGGAGCTCTATGCAGGTCCCTCGGCCATACATCGCCTCGTCGTCCTTATTCGACAACGTGGAGCTCTCGTACAGGCCTCTCGGCCCATCGGCCTTACGTTCTGGTCATCTTTATTTGATGAACCAGACATCATATTGTGGACGGTCGCTCGACCCATCCCTTAGTCATCTTTATTTGATGACTAGGACTACTGATCATGATGAGCTACCCACATCTAGAGATCGGCCTCGACCATCGCCCCAGCAGACGGGCACCGTTGCAGCTCCATCTCCAGGCCGAAGGGTTCGCACCTTTTGTTTCATTTTGGGGGCATCCGGTGTACTCTTTTTCCCTCATTAGGATTTTTTCCCACAGGGTTTTTCCTAATGAGGTTTTTAACGAGGCATCTCCCCATCGTGGATCAAAAGGTGTCAACCCTCGGCCCCCTGTTGAAGACATCATCTGACACGCATTACTCTACTCCTCTTCACCTCATTACACTCGCCTCGAGGAGTGGGGGACTGGAAGAGCGGGGGACTTAGCGCCTCCGTTAACCAAAGAAGCAGAAATTCAAATTTTTTTCATGAAGTTTACTCACCAGACGGCGACAGATCAGCACACAGTACTACTCTCTTTCGCCTCGAATACTCTCGACTCAGAGAGTGGGGGACTCCTGATAGAGTATATAGACTCGGACCCCCGGGTCTCACGACTATTGGGCTCGGACAGCGGCCCACTCACGCTTATCGGACGTCATTTATATCATTTGTATTATTGTAGAGTTCATATATCATCTGTATGAACTAGATTAGTCTTTTATGTAGTTGGGCCTATCGGGCCCATATTAGCGGCCCGACCCATTATTTCTCTATTTATACTCCTCTTGGAGCCATTTGTAACCCTAGAACATAAGTCTCAATACCACTATTCATCTTCTTCTCCACATTATTAAGCTCAATCTCTCCCATTTTATATATACTTAGATACCTATAATCCATCATATATATATATATATATATATATAAGTAATATAACAATACTACTATTAATTAGTAGTATAATTATAGAAATAATGGCACAAATATTATCCCTCAACTTCCATTGGACAAAAATATAACCAAAATTCCATTTTCCAAAAAAGTCACCAGGGAAACTTTCTGTATTCCCTTGTGCTGAACGAGCTTAGCCCGTAGACACAGCAACTCCCCAGGAGCAGAACACCATCGCCGCTGATCATCTCTTTAGGCCGTCGCCCGTCGCCGACCATCTCCTCAAGCCGTCGCCGTCTCCGTCGGCGTCGCCCTACACGGTCAGAGCCGTCACCTCCCTGCTTCATCAATCAATTTCTCCTCCCTGCTACATCCATCAATCTAACCTCCTTGCTCCGACCGATCTCCGTCGATCCAGGTGCAACATCGACGAGGCTCGATGTGTTCTTCACCGATTTTGGATCTAGGCCTACTCTTCGCCGATTCGAGTTGTTTCCTTGCGTTTGGGCGACAATTGTGAGGCTAGGGCTTCTCCAATCTGTGCGGGGTGCATTTAAAATTGGGTCGTGGTAGCCTAGGTTGGGGACCTGTGGCCGGTGGTGGTGAGTTGGGCGGCGGCTGGAAGGGGGCATGGCAGGATGGGGAGGGGTCTTGGGGCTAAAGAAGTGGGGGGTGGGGGTGAGTTGGGCAGCGGCTAGAAAGGAGGCAGGGTGTGAGGGGCAGTGGCAGTGGCCTAGGGCTGAGATAGGGCTAGGAAGGCTGCTAGACAGGGGTTGGGGTGGTGGCGGGCGGCGGTGAGGGATATATGGAACGCCGGAAAGGTCACCGTGACATCGACGGTGGCCACAGTGACACGGATGGTGACCGCAGTGACACGGACGGTGGTCACAGTGACATATGACAGTGACACGGATGGTGGCCGCAGTGACACGGACGGTGGTCACAGTGACATATGACAGTGACATTAAAATTGGGTAGTGACATTGTTATTTGGTAGTGACACCGTTTTTCCAAATATATCACCTTTTTAGTCACTTTTTTGTCCTTTTATAAAAATGGTCACATTTTTGGAAATTGGTTTTAATTTAGTAATATTGAAGGCAAAAGCCCATAATTATAATAATTATACTAAGTAATTAGTAATATAACAAATTAACAATACTACTTTTAATAAGTATAAGTGTATAACAATACTATAATTATATATTAATAAGTAATATAACAGTACTACTATTAATTAGTAGCATAATTATTTAGAAATTAGAATACTAAATGAATAATGAATTAATGAAGTAAAGAGATGAATATTTGGAGTAGAAGAATTGAAGAAATGGAGTAGAGAGATGAATAGAAGAGTAGAAGAATTAGACTGTGTAGAAAAAATGAAGAAAAATGATGTATTTATAGAATTTTTTTACCCCATCCCCACCCCTGCCCAACGGCAAAAAATGCCCCTCCCCCAACGGTCATATGATCATTCAAACTATTTTAATCAAATTTTTTTTTAGAAAGAGTAGCCGTTGGGACCGGAACCGGGACCGGATCCGCCCGGTCCGGTCCCCAACATCATGTACCGAGGCCGGGTACGTAATTACCCGGTCGGGTCCCGGGCCCGGAACCGGGTTTCCGGTTCCGGTCCGGTCCCAAACAGTACCAGACTCGGTTCCGGACCGATCGGGACTGCCGGACCGGGTCCAAGCCTATCCCACACCCAACTTACTGTTCTCACTTCACCAATCCTACACACAATACTCCGTTTTTGCCTATGTCAAACTTTTGCATTGTGAATCGTCGTTAAGGAACTATCATTGCATGAATTCAATTGCCGCTGCTTGATTATCTTCGACGTCGCTACCTTGTCGGGCCTCTATAGACGCCTAGGTTTTACCGCTTTTGGTAACCCACAATTTGGCTTGTGATTCATAGTTCGAACAACATGTGTAATTCACTTCAAAGTTCATGGTTATTTATAGGTGCATGTTATTGTGGTATTATTTGGAATGAATTGATTGGATTTAAAAATTTTCAATTTGAATTTGAATGGTGCATATTGTTGTAGTGGGCGTTGTTGCCGTAGCTAGGGGGGCTTACTGGGCTCCGGCCCACCCCAAATTTGAAAAACTTGTGTATTTTTAATTTTTTTTGTATTGGCCAACTAGGCTTGTAGCTTTTGGCGACGCCCCACTTAGTAGTGGTCATATGTTTACTTGATTGACTTTATTTGAGAATTTAAAAGAACGTAAAAAGCATCAGAAAGTGAAAACACTAACAATATGCAAATTGGCATATGTGTGTCTGTATGTCAAAAATACATATGCAGCGGTACTTGTAAACAAATTTAGTGCAGCGGGATGGCATTTGACGTGCCTTGAAGTTTTAAGAGTGAATAGGTGAGAATGGTGGTGAAGGTGGCAATTGTGTTGGTGAAGACATTTTGTGGAATATATATATTATTAAAAAGAAATGATTCCTATTTGGTCATTACTGTTCTTACTTGCATGTGTTTTTTATTTGAACTAGTATAATACCAGTGAATAGCGATGCACACGATATTGTTTCGTTCTTTGAACATGTTTAAATAAATATTTACTTGTGAAAAGGTGTGCAAGCGCGCGCATACCTACAAAAATATTTACTAGTGCAAAAAAATTATATATTATTATTTTTTTAAATTTTTTATAAGGATTGAACACCCAAAATTTGAAAAATAATCATTTGAATACCCAAAAAAATTGGGGTAGATCCGCCACTGATCCACTCTATCCTCTTTTAATGTACTATTCATTAATCTAAAAATATATTAAAAAAATCCAAATTAAAAATAATAAAAGAAACTAAAAGAATAACATGTGTTAGTAGACACTGAAAAATTAAAGTGCAATCTATAACAATAAATAAAGAGTTATTGCTAAATATTTTGCATTAAAAAAATATATTATATATTATCATCAAAAAAATTAAATTATTGTACTATAAATTTTTTATTTAATTAAAATATACTATGTTACTAAAACAACGTACTCTAGGTATATGAAAACAGATACAATAGTTTTGGGATAATTTGAGTTTGCACCCCACTTTATAGTTGAAATTAGACTTTGCACCCCATTTTTGAAATCTTTAGTATTTGCACCCCAACCCCGTATGAAAAGACTAAAATGCCCCTCAGTTAACAATTTTGTTGACCTTCAACATATTTCTGATCGAGGGGCATTCTTGTCTTTTCATACGGGGTTAGGGTGCAAATACTAAGGATTTCAAAAACGGGGTGCAAAGTCTAATTTCGACAATAAAGTGGGGTGCAAACTCAAATTATCCCAATAGTTTTTCATGCTAATTAATTTCAATCAGACAATAAAACTTATGTGTTTGAACTTAACACTGATATATAAAGCTCAAAAAACTTGGAAATTTACCAAACATGCTTTTAATTTTCAAATATACATTTTATTAAAATCCAAATTTATAAATATATAGTATTACATTAGCTTATTTAAATTAATTATCCATATTTTATTGTTTTTTAAAATAGCTCATACTTTTTGCTTTTCAAATACCTGTAATCCATGTAGAATTGGACATAGCTTGGGACTGCTTCTCATCCATTCTTATCCATCCGGCTCTGCAATTATAACTTTCATTCCTTTCATCAACTTCATTTGATAACTAAGACACCTCATTTTTCAAATTCATACATATAAGTAAACAATAATTAAAACATTACCTCTGAACACTTTCAGTTCAAACTTTTTGCAACATTTGTTACACGCAAGGTACTACCAATCACCATTACTTTCTAATGCAGCAACCTTGGTATGAATCCAAAACTCCCGACATACATAATAATATTTCACATTTTATTTCAAAAGTCACGTTGAAAAACACATAGATTTCATTAACAAAAGATAATCAAAGTTCATTAGATTTATAGAGTTGGCCAATTGTTTTCAATGGTAAAGTTAAGTTGTTGAGCTCATCAAGATTGCTCTATCTCGGGTGGGTTCTACTGATATGTAACAACTATTAGTCTATTACACATGCTAATAGAAAGCTCTCGGTAACCTCCTCCTTTTGGATGTTCGCTGAGAGGGGGACTTCAAATTCCAAAATGTGCCTGAAATTTTATTTGTCAACGCGAGGGCACTTCTTTCGACCTTGCTATAAAAACCAATACACAACCAAATAAAAAAGAGAAAATAGCCCTAAATAGGACTAAAATTAAATTCATTTCTCTAAATATTACTAATGTCTATTTCTCTCATAAATAGGATTCCATTTTACCTTTTTGCCTCTATTTCAATTAAGAAAAAATTACATGAATATTACTATTAGAGTTTTCTTTGACAAAAATATGACTAGTTATGTTTTTGGACAAATATATGACTAGTCACTATGCATAAGTAGTAACTATAGTATATTTTAAAGTAAGTTAGTTATTGATGATGAAGAGTCACTATGCATTAGTCACTATACTAATCACATTTTTGGATTTTTTTAAACAAGTCATATTTTTGTCATTTGAATCTAATTTAGTAATATCTGTTGGGGTATTGATCCCCCCTCAGATGGGCCGGCCCAATACGGCGACGAACACACAACGGCGGACTGACAATCCGAACGTGCCCATGCCGAACGGAGATCCTCCGAGCGGAAGACGCCCCGATCGGGCCCAGAACGGACGCCCCGATCGGCCACTTGGATGGGCGTGTCAGGGCCCCTACCCTTGATGGGACTCCTGGATTCAGATGGGACACGCATTTAATGCTCTGGAAATTATGGTTGGATGTCGGCCAATAGAATGCTACCTCATCATCTTTCCGTACTTATTCCCCTTACTATAAATAGATGCATTTATTTCATTGTAAGGGGTTGGTTGCTATTTATTGCTAGAGCTCATATCACTAGTTCCCTTCGTTCCAGGCCATCAGGCTAAGGGGCTGTTTACTTTTTTTTCCATTAAGTCCTATATGAATTAAGACGTCTGTCTGGATTAAGTCACAGTGATATAACAAGCTGTTTACTTTGTGTGCTGAATGAACATGCTGAATTATATCAAATGACCAAGAAACACTTCCCAAGTATCGTGTTGAGACTTGGGCCTGGGGTAATTAACCTCAACACTGGCGCCGTCTGTGGGAACCTTGAACGAAATCAAGTGACATTCTTTCCCGTTTAAGCTAAACGCTCGCGAAATCAAGATCTGGAACAGTAAGATGGCTGGACATTCTAACAGGAACGAAGCAACTGCCGACCTCGCCAATTTCCTTGCTGCAGGGAGGCGGTCGAGGGGACAAAATTCAGATACAGCGTCCGAGGCTAGGACGCCTGACCAAGCAACCGGGGGCAACGGGGAACTTACCCGCCTCCTGGCTGAAGGACTACGTACCGATCTGGAAACCCTTCGGGCCTTAGCTCGGACATTGGAGAGCATGGCCGACCATGGTGTTGGATCCAACGGATATGCTGGGGGATCGTCCCAATCGGTGTGGACGCCAATGAGCCCCGTTAGGCGGATGAGGAGCCTGGTAGACTATACAGACGAATCGACAGGAGGTCGACCGTCTGCTTTGGATCGGCTGAGCGCCGGTAGGGGGCATAGTGGGCAGGGGGCCGAACGCCCAATGCCAGGAGGGGCCAGAAGAGACAACCGCACTTACATCGATGGGCAGGAGGTATGGTTTACCCGGTCCGAACTACAGCGCCAGGTCCGGGAGTATCGGGAGGAGGTGGCCAGAGAAGGGGCCCAGAGACCTTCTCGAACACCGGCGCGTGGGAGTGGTGCTCCCATGCCGCCACAACGGGCGACGGTCCACTCGACGACGGAACGGAGCGTAGAGAGGCGCTCAGAGGCATCGGCAGCCAGACCGAGGGGGGAGGTTCGGGATCGTATCCGGGGGGACCGTGGTCCCCCCGGTAAACGTAACTCCTAACCCACCCCCAGCCTCACGCACGGGGACCCTGGAACGTATCCGGAGGGAAACAATAGTTCCTCTGGTAAACGCAACTCCAGTACCACCCCCCCTCCTCCTACTGTCGAACGCAATGAAGCAGTGGAGGCCCTCCGGCTCCAAGTCGCGGAACTCACCAAGCTGGTGGTGAAGGCCCCGACAGAACGGAAGTAATATATTACTTCCCCGTTCACAGAACGGGTCATGGCGGTCCCAATCTCCAAGGAGTTCCAGCCGCAGACCGGGTTATCCTACGACGGCACGGGCGACCCTAGGGCTCACATCGTATCTCATCAGGGAGGGCTGATGCTCTTAGGGGCGCCGGACGAGGCCATTTGCCGTTTGTTCTTTAGCACGCTAAAGGGCCCGACGCAGGAATGGTTCGGGCAGCTGGCGCCCGGATCCATAGATAGTTTTGAAGAACTGTCAAGATTATTCCTATCCCAGTTCGCCTCAAGCACCCAAGCGAAGAGGCATTCCAGTTACCTATCGAGCGTCCGACAAGGGGCGACCGAAACATTGAATGAATTCCTCATCCGGTGGAGGGATGAAACCCTCAAGGTTGAGAGGCTGGATGAGGCGATTGCAAAGGTTTTATTCACCGACACATTGAGGTCGGGGGAACTGTATCGCTCATTGAAGTTGGATAAAGCAATATCCTATGCGGTGGCCCTCGAGCGCGCACAAGATTAAGCGACAATCGAGGAGGAGTTGAAAGCCCGTGAGGAGGTTCCCAAGGTGGCCAAGGCCAAGGCACTGGACCGGCTCGGCCCCAGCGCCTCCAAGAAGAAGTCCAAGCAGCAATCCATGTTGCCAAGGTTCGCTGACCATAAAGTCCCCAAGCTAACATTGCCAATCTCCGTGATCCACGAGGAGATCCGGGCCACGAATCTCCTACCTGCACCACCCAGGACGGATAACCAACGCATGGGGCGGGACCTGAATGCCTTTTGCAATTATCATCAGAAGCCGGGACATCGGACAGATGATTGCCAAAACCTGAAAACTGCTATTGAGGACCTCATTAAATGGGGGTACCTCGGTGAGTATTCCGGGCAGTACGCCCAGCAGGCGAAACGCCCCAGGACTTGGAGGAGGGATGCCAAGAGGGAGGCCGCCCCCAAGGGTGAGGCCTTCCGCCAGCACGACAAGCCGCAGAACAGGGGGAAGGGCCCGGAAGGAAAAGGAGCGTCCGGCCCCAAGGATCGGTTGGAGATCAAGGTAATTTTCGGGGGAGGGGAGACGGCCGACACGACGGCCGAGCGTAAACGTTTCGAGCGGGCCCTGTGCCAAGCCAGTACAGCAGAAAAAGAGATACATGGCGGTCGAACGACGGGATTTTTCCAAAAAGGAAGTAACGATGTTGTTGACCATCAAGCACATCAGACCGGTGGTAGATGTGGAGTGGCTGTCCAACGTGGTCCTAGCACCTAAAGGACACACGTGGAGGATGTGCGTGGATTACTCGGACCTCAACAAGGCCTGCCCGATGGATCCCTATCCCGTGCCCCGCATCGATCTGCTGGTAGATGAGATGGCGGGGTGCGAGCTGTTGAGTTTCATGGATGCCTTCCGGGGGTATCACCAGGTGTTCATGCATCCGGACGATGCCGAGAAAACAACATTCGTGACATCGGACGGCGTATATTGTTACGTTGTCATGCCGTTCGGCTTGCACAATGCGATGGCTACCTTCCAGAGGATGATTAGGATCCTCTTGATCAAGAGTAGGCTCAAGGGGGATCACGTTAGGGATATGGAGCGGGTCTTCAGCATCATGGAGAAGGCCCGGATGAGGCTGAATCCGAAGAAGTGCGCTTTCGCAGTGCAGTCCGGGGGGGGGGGGGGGGGGGGGGAGTTCCTGGGATACATGATGAGCGAGCGAGGAATAGATTCCAACCCGGAGAAGGTTCAGGCCATCCTCGAAATGCAACCCCCACGGAATCTGAAAGAGGTACAGCGACTGACGGGCCGATTGGCTGCCCTCAGTAGATTCATGGCCAAGCTGGCGGATCGAGTGATCCCATTCTTCCAGATAATGAAGAAGGCCAACTCTTTCCAATGGACAGAAGAGTGCCAGGCGGCCTTCAAGGACTTTAAAAATTACCTTTCATCACCGCTCGTCCTCACCAAGGCTGACCCGGGGGAGCAGCTCTATGTCTATCTGGCAGTCGGGGACCTCGCAGTGAGTGCGGCCCTGCTAAAGGAGACGGACGACGTGCAACGTCCGATCTACTTTGTGAGCAAGGCGCTGAACGGTCCCAAGACGAGGTACACCCTCATGGAAAAGACGATCTTGGATCTGATCGCCACCATCAAAAGTCTGGCCCCGTATTTCCAGGCTCATCCGGTGGTGGTATATACAACGCATCCTCTCGCCACCATACTCAGGAATCCAATGGTGAGCGGAAGAATCACGAAATGGGCACTGATGATTGGGCAATACAACAACGAGTTCAAACCCCGCCCAACCATCAAGGGGAAAGCCTTGGTGGACTTCGTGGTAGAATGCACAGCTCGACTGGACGGAATCCAGCAAGGAGAGGGTTCGGGAGATGGTTGGTGGGAGATGTATACCGATGGGGCCACTAGCAGCAAAGGATGTGGGGCCGGTGTGGTTATATCCACTCCGGAGGGTTTCAAAGCCTATTATTCTATCCGTTTTGGCTTCAAAACAACCAATAACGAGGCTGAGTATGAAGCCATGCTCGCTGGCTTAAAATACGCGAGAGCATTGGGAGCCGAACGGTTAAAGGCCCGGTCGGACAGTTAACTGGTGGTCGGCCAAATCAATGGCCAAGCAGAGGCCAAGGAAGAGAGGATGAAGGTATACCGGGACCTTGCGGAAGCTGAGATCGGGAGATTCACAAAGGTCATCCTCGAACAAATACCCCAGATCGAGAATGCAGAAGCGGACATACTCTCCAAGATGAGCCATGAAGCCACGGGGGATGCGGGGCAGGGAATTCCACCCCATATCACTTGAATTGCCAGGATGGAGGTATTGGAGAGCCCCGCCCCAGAGGTCATTACGGTCGAGGCCATTTCTTTTGCCGAAACCAATTGGGTAATCGAACTGACCAACTACATCCGTGACGGGTCAGTTCCTGATAATGACATACGGGCCAGATTGTTAAAGAGGAGGGCCCCGAGCTTCGAACTTATAGACAGTCAGCTCTATAAGAAGATGTTCGGAGGACCGTACCTGAAATGTATGCCTCCCGCAACCGCAGCGTCCGTGATGGAGAAAATCCATGAAGGGATATGCTCGAGCCATTAGGGCCCAAGGACAAGATTAATACGAAGTACAAGATTTGTTAAAGAATACAAAAAAATTATTAGATTCCTTTTTGGTGCGAATATGAAAATATTTCACGCCGCATCGGCCGCAATACGTATAGCAGCGGCCACAATAGCCACAACCGAAAGACCGCAACCGCAATTTAAAACCATGATCCTAACTAGTGATATCTTTTCAGCGTATAAAAGGTGAGGTGCTACATTGGACCAATGGATTCCAACACCACCAACCCTTCATCAACTGGCAACATTAAAAAGGGAGCTCTGGGACAAATTCAACAAAAATATATCTACATCCCAACAAACAACTACCAGGTAATCACCAAATGGCACAAAAAACCTCAAGATGGAATCTAATATGTCCATAACCTACCACAAGCCCAATGAAAACAAGTAGAGTTGCGATGGCAACTCAAACTATACCACAACTAACCTCACAATTTTCTCAAACCCAAGACAACCCACAGTTTGTCACTAATGTCACCACCAACTGTCATGCAACCGTGACCTATCTCACTACTTCTCCGCCAACCAATCTAGCTGCAAGGGGTGGTGATGGCGAGGCACAAAACCTCTTCTGACTACAATAATGTTGAGGCTTGGATATCCTGCTGTACAACTGTCCTCACATGACAAAGATAATGTCATGTATCTTGATAAAATAAGGAAATAGAAAAACACATCAAACGAATATAAATACAGAGAAGGAAAAAATACCATAGAAGGATAATGGCAATGAAGAAAGAGAAAAAAGTCATGTGTTCATGAGAAAGATGGGAAACACATTACGCCGCGTTCCTTATAAAATAAAGATAGCCCAAAACCATAGAGATGGGACATTGCTTAGGGTTCAAAATGCACAAATTGATCTCATGGACTCGTCCTACAGCTTTGTGGACCAGCCTCTTTGCTGCATGGTTTAAAAAGGTGCTTATGAGGTGGGTTCTGAGGCGCGCCTCAAGCTGAGGCGTACTGGTTGGGTATCAAGGCATAGGTTTTTTCCGCAGGTAAAGAGGCTTACGCCTCATAGATTGAGGCGCACGCCTTGAGGCGCGCCTTGAGGCGTTTGTTGAGGCGCATGCCTTGAACACTTGCGCAGTAACTTAAAACAGGCCCAAGTATTTCATTTAATAAAAAGTCCAGAGTTCTTTCTAAATAGAAGCCCATATACTAAACCCTAACATGTCTTATTTCATTCAAATCCTTATAAGGATTTGAACCTTAACGTATACTTTCTATTCACCGCAAAGAACTCTCTCTTCTCCTGCGACATCTCCTTACAACAGCCCAAAAGCTTCCAGGTAACTTTTCTTCTCCTCTCTTCTTCTCCATCCCCTTCTCTTGCTCCTATTCTTATTCAACTCATCTCCTTCATTTCTTCTCCTTCACTGCTTTTTATCCTTCTTTTACAGAATTGTTGTTCTTCTTCTCTTTCACTGCTTCTTATCCTTCTTTTACAAAACTGTTGTTCATGTTTTCTAACTGGTAAAGGATTTACTTTTCTTCCTTAGTCATGTTATTAATAATACTTCTGCGTAGATTTAGTTTAATGGTGAGAGGTTCAAAGAAAAGATGTCATGGTTCTACTGCTACACCTAGTAGTTCTGAAGGCCTTGGTATTGCTACTGGTGCTACTAGGAATAGAAGAGATCCTGCTTGGAATCATAGTGTTCAAGTAACAGGCCCTAGAGATGAAAAGAAGAGCTATGTATACCTAAAGTGCAATTATTGTGAAAGAACAATCACATGAGGTGTAAAGAGGATGAAAGATCATCTTGCTTGTACCAGAAAGAATGATGCTCCTTGTAAAGAAGTGTCTGATGAAATTAAAAAAAAATCCAAGACTATTTGAATAAAGGAGCTGCAAAAAAAGACTGGCACAACAAGAATTTGAAGAGTGTGTTGCTGTAGGTTCTTACTTTGGCAGTGGGATGGAGGGGGAGGATCAAGCGAATGATAATACTCTTCCAACAAGGGGTACTCGTGGGCCTTTAGACAGATTTATGGTGAACGTTGGTGATGGTGTTGATGTCAACATAAACCCACCAAATGCCACAGAGTTGCGCAAACGAGTTTGTATGGACATAGGCAGGTTCTACTTTGAAAACTCTATACCTTTTAATGTCGCAAGAAGTCCTTTTATTAATATGTTGCGTTCTGTGGGTGGATATGGTCGGGGTCTTAAACCTCCAAGCATGTATGAACTGAGGACTTGGATATTAAAGGAAGAGCTTAATACAACCGAGAAGATAGTCAATGAAATAAAAAAAACATGGGCACACACTGGAGTGACAATCATGTCTGATGGCTGGGAAGATAACATGCATAGAAGTTTGATAAACTTTCTGGTTAACAATCCCAGTGGCACGGTCTTCTTGAAAAGTGTTGATGCTTCTGAGCACGTCAAAGATGCGAAGCTAATGTGTAAGTTGCTTGATGATATAGTTGAGGAAGTTGGGGAAGAACTTATAGTCCAAATTGTGACAGACAACGCAAGTAACTATAAGGCAGCTGGAAGAATGCCAATGGAGAAAAGACCACATCTATATTGGACTCCATGTGCTGCCCACTGCATTGACTTGATGCTAGAAAAGATTTCAGAACTTACACCGCACGCTCGTGTTCTGATCAAAGCAAAAAAGGTGACCAATTTCATTTATAATCACCCATGGGTTTTAAGCTTGATGAGGAAATTTGTTAATGGAGATCTCATCCGACCTGCGGCTACCAGATTTGTTACTGCATTTCTAACTTTGCAGAGCATTTATCAAAGGAGGCAACCATTGGAATCTATGTTTACTTCTGGACAATGGATGGACTGTACTTGGGCAAAAAAACATGATGGCAAAGAAATAAGGAAGATTGTTCTCAAGGCTAACAATTTCTGGATAAGTATGGCCTATGCTATCAAATCCACAAAACCGTTGGTAGAAGTGTTGAGGTTAGTTGACTTTGAAAAAGAACCTGCAATGCCTTACCTCTATAATGTTATGGATGAGGCAAAGGAAAAGATAGCAAGGAATTTAGGTGGAGATGTAAAAGATTACAAAGAAATATGGGATATTATTGATGAGAAATGGGATTTTCAGATGCATCGCCATTTGCATGCAGTTGCCTACTATCTGAATCCCCGTTGCCATTACGCAGATAACTTTTCAACTCATCCGGAGGTCAAGCTTGGTTTGTTTCATTGCTTGGGGAGACTCATACCTAGCAGAGAGGATCGGGAGAAAGTTGACCTTCAATGCAGCACTTTCCATAACCAAGAAGGTTTTTTTGGTTTTGCCCAAGTAAAGAATACAATCTTTAAGAGAACCCCTGGCATATTTAGTAATCTTCCTGTTTCTGCACATTTAATACTAAAAATCTGATATTTTCTTTTCAAAACTGTACATTTTAGCTTTTTAAAGAAATATGGAGATGACAATTGACCTTTCTGCCTATAATATGTTTCTGGACACTTAAGCTTTATAGTTCAAGAAACGTTTTCTTCTTTTCAGTTGAATGGTGGATTCAATATGGAGATGGCACTCCTAAGCTTCAAAAATTTGCAATAAAAGTGTTAGGTCTTACTTGTTCATCATCCGGTTGTGAGAGAAATTGGAGTACTTTCAATCAAGTACACACCAAGAGAAGAAATCGCTTGACAACAGTTAGGATGAACTCTTTGGTGTATATAATGTTCAACAAAAGACTTAAAGATCGGCACCTTAAACTGAGATCCCTCACCAATGAAGAGGAAAATATGTTGGTTGATGACTTGCCATCTGATGATGAATGGCTGGTCAGTGAAAATGGTGTGGAACCAGGCACATTTAGGGATGACCTTGATGTCCTTGATGTTGATCTTTTTGGAGGTCAACCATCACAGCAAGCCGAAACAAAAGAAAGTTCAAGCAAGCAGATGGGTAAACAAGGAAACAATAAGAAAAATAAACAAGTAGTGGAGGCAAATGATAATGATGATGATGAAGATGAAGAAGAAGAGGAGGAGGAGGGAGAATGGGATGATTTTGATAGTGATGATGGAAGGGATGATGGTGATAACGCCATAAGATATGATGATTCTTCCGAAGAGCTTTCCTATCATGATGATTAATCTGCAAGCCTTCAAGATTTATAAACTATGTCAATTGCGTTATGTGTCTGGTTGTTTGTGATGCAATTTGTGTGTGATGTTTATGTGTGTTTGTGAGACTGTGATGTGTCTGTTTTTGTGAGATGTTTCTTTTTGTGTGTTTGAAGCCTAGTGACTTACCGGTAATAGGTCACATGTATTTGTGTCTCACACTTTTTGGACTTATAATTATGGATATCCTTTACTTCTTGAGTTGTTTGTTACTAGTTTAATTATATCAAGTTTTATATGTCTGTATTTTTTGAGGCTTACGCCTCAATATGCCTCAAGGCTTATGCCTCACCTCTTAGGAACAAACCGCCTTGAAACCCGAACCCGCCTTTTTAAACCTTGCTTTGCTGGTGTGGCAATGATAGAAAATAATTTTAAGGAAAGTAAAACAAAGACACTAATTAGAAGCCCGAATCTTTGCTTAGAGTTTAGGGAACCGATTACCAATAAAAGTGGATCATTGATTAGGGTAAAATTGATGTTTATTGACTAGCATCTTGACTGATAAGCAATGCATTTCTAACCTTAGTTAAAAGCAGCATTAGGCAATAAACAAACCCTATTCTAGAGAAATGAGACAGTCAAAAATTTGAAGATTATTTAGCAGCTTTGTTGGGGAAAGAATATCTTGCTGGAGCATGCATTCGGGGATCAAGAATATCTTAAACTTTATTTTCTAGAGCCACTCTACTCTATTTAGCATCCAGAAGTGGAACCTAGAAAGGGTAGAGAGATGCCATTATGGAACAGGTTAATCACAATTGTAGCACACCGGTAGCTTTTAAAACTTAATCCATGACTCCAGGTTAAATACACAAACTATTTGCAACGAGTCTCCAACTCAATTAGAACCTTCTTCAAAAGGGAGAAAATCAGATAAAAAAGGCACTATACCAGCAGGGGGGAAGATAGAGTGCAGAAACTACAGTGAATAACTTAGTACTATAACACAAACCAGATTCGTGTTGACACTGCAAAACCCAAGAAATGACCTCATCTTGATCCACTACACTAATCTTCCCTAGAATATCAAGAGTCGTCAATCCCCAGTATGCTCCATTTAATCTAAGATGCTGCATCACCACAGACTCAAAGTCATCTTTACTCTGAATGTAAGACAAACAGGCTCACATAAAGACCCGCTTTGCATCCCCATAATCCCATTCCAGTTTCCATAATTCATATTGGGAAAGTTAATCTTTAGAGTGATAAAGTGAAACCATTTCTACGATCTTTGAATTAATAAAAAGGAAAAGACAAAAAAATCACAAGATAACAGAAACAACTCAAACCTTTTCAACTGATAAGATGTACTTCACATGCTTTTCCACCTGATGCCCTTCCATTATTCTGTTATTTAGGACGTATCAGTACAATCTTTCAGGTTCTCAAAAACCAAAATAGAACAAAAAATACAATCTCTTGATTTTAGCATAACTTCTCAGATTTAATTTCATATAACCAATGCCAAATAATCTACTCTCCTAAGTTCCAATCCTCTACAAGCCAAAAGGATGGCTTTTTACACTTTATCCATAGATAATTCTTTTCCCAATTTCATTACTTGTAAAATCCAGAAGATCCAGAATAGGAGAAACGAGAGAAGAGTTTACCTGTTGTTTTCGCAGATAACTATAGCGCAGTCGAATCTATACCCTTGTATGAGGTGGTGAAGAAAAATGCTAGAGGTATTATGTGGCCATACGAGAGGATTTTGGGTACCTTTTGGAACTGGTTCTGTTTCTTTTTTTTAAAAGCATAAGCAGAATCAGTTTTTCAGAAGCTGGTACCCCGGGCTTCTAAAAAAACTGATTCTAGAAGTAAATTAGAGCACCAAAATCACTTCTGCATTTTCACCCAAACACTCTAACTTCTGCTTCTGCTCTCTGAAGGAGCAGAAGCAGTTTTGAGAATTAGATCCAAACACCCCCTAACAGAACTATTTATTTAAGTGGGGCAACTCTATGTCCTAATTTAAACCACACAGTGTGTCAGAAATGGGTACACGAAGCAAGACTGTGAAAGGAATGGTCGGAAAGATTAATCTGTCAATTATTCCGTTAGAAGACAATTTAGGGTCACATGCGAATCAAATAATTTATACTCGATTCGGGATTCGATTTCTTATAAGACAATTCGAATTCGAAAAATTCAAATACAAATACAAATAAGAATACTAAATTTGATTCGAATTGTTATCAAATACAAATACGAATATCAATATATTCGATTCGAATGCTAATCAAATATATTCGATTAATAATAGTGAATATCATTTTTAAAAAACAGTAATAATATTAATAATAATAGTAATAGTTATAATAGCAGTAATAACATTATAATAACTTTTACAAGCTGGCTATATATATACATTTGCGTATACATATAACATATGTCAAGCCAATTTGTAATAAAGCAGAAGTATCACAAGGAATAAAAGTTATAAACAAAACCGAGGAGTACTCTGGGATGAATCGTGCCAAGTCATGGAACCTCTGTTCCAATTGCCTCACCGAGCAACCATCCTCCTGTTTCAGGTTCGTGTACTCCCTCCTCTTGAGATTGACTTCAAAAGTTGAGTAGTACTGATTATAGAACTCCACTTCGAATTTCTCTCAAGTGGCCTCCCCGTGGAACTTTCCTTCCACACCTTCCCACCATACAGCCGCTACCCCATCCAGTAGCCTGGTGGCAACCCTCAACTTCACGTCGAGCCCAATTTACATATCCCTAGAAGCATCATTCAGCTTCTTAATCCAATCGGCGGCCTCAGAGATGTCGCCCTTGCCATCAAACGATTTGCACCCCAAGGCCCTAGCCTCCTTAAGGTACTTGGAGATACGTACCATCGCGTCTCCACCAAAGGCTCCAGATGGAGCACTAGAAGCACCTCGGCTTCCCTGCCCCATGGCTTGCCTAGCCTGTCTAGCTTGGCGCCGCGGCTCTCTCTTTGCCTTATTCTCGAGGTACCATTTCAGTACCTCACTCATGCGGTCATAATGAGGATCATCATCCTCATCTTCTTCCTCAAGGTCCTCCCCGTTGTACGGGGTCTCCTCTTGCTCCGTGCTTGGAGCATAGGTGAAGTCGTCCGGGTCGGTGGCCCATGACGGGTGCACGGAACCGACGCGTGTGCTACTTGTCGTCGGCGTGGTAGAACACCCACGACCCCTGCCTCAGCCTCCTCCTCGCCCTTGGCCCCGGCCTCTACCCCTAGAGGTCCGTGATTCCGCCCGAGTGGCATGCCCGGTGGCCCCCGGCACATGCCCTATCGGGTTCCTCCTAGTTATCATGCGTTCACCCTCCATTTCTGAAAGAAATAAGGAATGAGTCATTAGACTCGTTTCAATGTCTATTGACGGATTAGTACAAAAGACACCACTTGGTCCAACATTATGGCCAACAAACTGTTAAGGGTACCGTCTTAACAATAAGAGGTCAATAACTTGGTTTCCAACGGTTCCTTAAGTACAAAAATTGTTGCTCATGGTTTTATTCAAAACTTTTGAGGATAACCATATTGAGAGGTTAATTATATAGTTTATAAATCGATGGCTCTGATACCACTTAATTGTCACGCCCCGGACCGCATCCGAGCCACGTAGACAACCGCCGTACAACCCGATAAGAACAACAACAGTTCATCCCTATCGAGTTGTACAAGGCATCCGATTGATTCTATTGCCAGACCGATTAGTAAACACATACAATCAACATCAATATCATAATCAAACAAATGCGGAAATAATAATATGTTTGATACTTAGTCACACGTGGCAAACACGGGCACGCAGGCCCCCAACTGTTTTAATGAAAATATTGTTCAAAAATCCATGAGCAGTTTATATATTTGAAATAAGAATGGAAGCACGAACCACGTCTTCCTTCTCGATCAATCACCCTAGGCAAAGGTGCAGGTAGTAGGACTCTAGCCTCAACCTGAAAAATGTGAGGGCCCCCGGAGGGGTCAGTACTCCATAGAAGTACTAGTGACAAGCAGGCTATATGAAGAATAACTAATGTTTCAGACACGAGACCCAAAAATAGGGTGATACATATGTATATATATGTGACTCATTCATCCGATGATACATACTGTATATATATATATATATTTGTAAAATACTCGACCCGTAGGTCATTTCATTCAAAGAGTCTTTTAGAGATAAAGTTCTTACCGGACCTTTCTCACCCTTTCCCCGAATGCCTAGCTCACTAGCTACATTCTATGTTCATAATATCCTGGATATGGCTAACCTTTCGTTCCTTCAACTATGGACAATACCTAGCCCTATAGTCATATAACCAACCTTAGGAACCAACGTGGGCGGGTCCCACCTGAACGGCCCACATTAACCCGCTCAAAACTGCCCGTTTTTAGCATAACTCAATACTCGATCGAGTATCAATCCATACTCGGTCGAGTACAGGAGACAGTAGTCCACAAAGCAAATTTTCAACAAGTACCCGGTCGGGTATGTGTCAATACCCGGTCGGGTATGACAGTTGACTTGTCGGTCAACGCCCGTTTGACCACCCAAACGGAGTCCGATTAACGTGAAATTTTATACACATATACTCCTTGATGTCCTTGATCCAAAAATATCATTTTGGATCCCTGGATCATCACACAAAATATGTTATCACATTTTTAATCACCAAACCTACATAACATGCTTTTCAACTATGTTTTATGTATAATCATGGCATAAGCAAACACTTGATTATCTTTACTCATTTCATAAAACATGTCCTTGATTACTGTAGGTAATCTCATGCCTCACGCAAAAGGTATAAAGCATAAAGCCGTCTTCTCACCTTAATGAAGCTTATGAAGTTCTAGCCTTCCCGATTTAGCTCCGGCGAAACTCCGGCGAACTTCAACGAACTCCGGCGACAACTCCGGCGACCTTTTCAACTCCGTGAAAGTTCCTTGAATACCTTAGACAAGTTACTAACAAGTGTTTATCATCATAAAACCCATAGTAATACAAATAACCTCCAAAAGGTCATTTTCCGGCGAACCGGTTACTTTGGCTTCTATGTCCGTTCTTGGACTTAGAACCATCTTCCAACCCCTCTTTCTACACATCCCAACGTGTAGAACAATAGTAGGGGGTGAAATATGATTGAATAATCATATAAGAGGATTGAAGAACAAGAAATAGGATTAATGGAGTCATTACCTTGTTAAACACAAGTTTTCCCACCTAAACTCATCTTTTCTCTTCTCTTTTCCCTTTCTTCTTCCTCCCTTAACTTGGTGTGTGTATGATGGATGAAAATGGTTTATTTGCAGAGCTCCTCTCACTTGGTTGATGCCTGATACGAAATGGGGTGAGTTGGTATGATTGAGAATGCCTTCTTGGCATTTCTCACAATCATGGCATGTGGGAGGCCCTACTCCATTTAATGCCTTTCCCCTCAACCCCTTCTCTTTCCCCTCCCCCTTCTCTTTGTGCGGCTCCCCTTGACATCTGCAGCACCAAATTCGTGGGGTGGCCCCCACTCATGTGGGAGGTCATCCCTTTATGTCCCCAAGTGTAGAATCGGTCCCGAAAGTTGTATTTTCCGGACTGTTTTAATTATATTTTATTTTACCGAGTCAAATAAAATATAACACTTGTTCCCAATCCTTATTGGAACTTAGAATGAATATGCATCCCTCAACTTTAATTTAGAAGTCTCCGAAATCCCTTTTTGGGCTGTTATCTGATAAATTTCCGATACCGATAATTTGGCCCCGTTTGACTAACCGGTCAACTATATGCCATTGCCATGGCCCAATTAGGATATCCACCACCATATCCATATTATCTAGTCCAAGATTAATATAATATGTGGTCCCGATAATATTGGGCGGCCCCTACCTCCGGTGTGGGCCCCACGTGAATTTTACTATTCACGTAAAAGAAATGATAAAAATTTATAATCACGTAAAACGCTTATATACATTTCTCAAGGTTCAATACATAATTTGGTACAGTACAAATACTCGGGGGCGGTGTTACAAGTTCTACCCCCCTTATTTGGGATTTCGTCCCCGAAATCCACGCGTCTAGTCAAACAGAAATGGATATTGTTCCCTCATAAGGGTCTCCACTTCCCAAGTTTGCTCCTCGACACGATCACTCTTCCAAAGTACTTTCACCATCGGCACCTCTTTGCTCCTTAGCTTCTTGACCTGTCGGTCTATGATCTTTACCGGCTGCACCGTAAAATGTAGGTCTTCTCGGATTTCTACTGGTGGTTTCTCAAGAATATGTGACGGGTCCCGTACATACTTCTTGAGCATAGAAACATGAAACACATTATGAATCTTTTCTAACTCTGGAGTCAACTGAAGTCGGTAAGCTACAACCCCAATCCTTTCAAGGATTTTGAACAGACCTATGTAACGTGGGTTAAGCTTACCCCGACTGAGGAATCTGATGATCCCTTTCCAAGGTGATACCCTCAGAAATACCTCGTCACCAACCTCAAACTCCAACGTCCTCCGACGTTTATCAGCATAGCTCTTCTGCCGGTCTTGGGCAGCCTTGAGCCTATCCTGTATGACTTTTATCTTCTCCTTAGTGATCTCTACTAACTCGGTGCCCTCGAGCTTAGCCTCGTCGACCTCGTCCCAACACAATGGTGTCCGGCATTTCCTCCCATACAATGCTTCGTATGGAGGCATGCCTATACTCGCCTGATAACTGTTGTTATAGGCGAATTC